GATGGTGCTCGCACATACGGCACTAGGACATCACAACGTCGCTCTTCCTCATCCCTTTCCCCACTTCCCCGACCATGCTGTCTCCCTCCTCCCCCTCCCCCCTCACCTGCACAGGTCAGGCCGTGCCTTCAGCTCCCACACCAGCCGCTCCACTCCCCCCGCTCTGCTCCGCTGCCTGCTCCGCTTCCCCGCTTCCCGCCCGCCTGCCTCCGCCACACTCCCCCCGCGCCTCACCACGTCCTTCCCCGCGCGCTTCTTCCCCCCCGGCACCTCCAGCAGCACCTCCATGCGCGGAACACTGTAGCTTCCGCCACCGCCGCCAGCCTTGCGCCCGCCCGACGCGAGCAGCGCGCTGATGCGCGCCTCCACGCCCGCCAGCGGGTCGCTCGACGCGCCGCCACCACTGCCTCGCGCGGGTGCCGCCTGGAATGCGCGGGACGGAGCGTACGCGGAGTGAGGGGGCAGTGCGGATGGTGAGAGAAGTCGCGGAGCGGAGGGAGGAGCGGCGCATGAGCGTCGAGTCAAGGAGGCGCGACGAGGGTAGGGCGGAGGGCATGTGGTGAGTCGAATCACACGCCACTGACGTCATCTCACCGCGGTGTCGGCGGGGCACACTGCGCGCATCACGTCCTGCTGCGCGCCACTGTTCACTTCCGCGTAAATCCGCGCCGCATCCCCGCCCCCCGCCTCCTTCCCCTTCCCCGCCTCGTTCTCCCTCCCGCGCTTCTTCGTCGCTCCGCCGTTCCCCCCATGCGCGCCCTTCCGTGGCGGGCGCCCGCCAGTCGGCACGCGGGCGGGCTGAGAGGGAGGCATGCGGAGCGCGGTGGACGCAAGATCACTGACTAGTCGAGTGATGGCGACGAGACGATCGTTGAGATATGCCTGGTCCACCAACCGACTGATGTACATTCTTATTTATTTTGCTAAATAATTTCGTTTTGTATGTGGGAAGCTATTTTCGCAACCACATCCTCCTGAGTAACACTTGAGCTCGTGCGACCCCATCTTTCGAGCTTTCGCAAACCCCCCAACCCGTCCATGTCCTCTCCCCAAAACCTCCCAGCCCAAGTCATCCAGGCGTTGGCGCACTCCCTAGCGCGCTAATCTCCTTCCCCGTTACATGGCCTCACTCGCCCGCTGCTCCCGACCCGCCCTCCGCCTTGCGCGCGTCGCTTCGCCGTGCCACTCGTCGCATTCCCTCGTCCGCCTCCTCCCCGCTCTCCGCGCCGCTCTTCTCCCCGGCGCCACTCCCCCCCGCCGCGCATTGTTCACGTGCGCCCATCGCCCCGCGCGCCCCCTCTCAGGATCCGCGTACCTCAGCACTGCCGGGGGAAGCAGCGGTGCTTCGGGGGCAAAGGGGCAGCGGAGGGAGGGAGATCGGCGGGAAGGGCAGACGGTACGGGACAGGGGCAGAGATAGGGGGACTTGGCGAACGCGCGCGGGGACGGTAGGGTTGTCGGCGGACGATTTTAGGGCGGAACCGTCGAGTGCAGCAGCAAGGGCAAGCGGCATTGCAGTTGGCGGTAGAGGCAGAGAGGCGAGCGCGCGGAGCGGAAGGGGGGTGGGCGGCAGCAGAGGTAGGGAGGCCGGTATTCGTGAGGTAAGGCGCGGTAGCGGGCAGCGAAGCAGCAGCGATCGGGGGAACAGCAGCCGACCGCAGGCGAGCGCCGGCGCTGCAAGAGCAGCTTTAGTGCGGATTGATCCCCCCGCCTCCAAGGATCGCAGCGGCGCCAGCAAGAGCGGCAGCGTCAGCAGCGGCGGCGGCAGCGGCGAGGGCAGGGGGAAGGGCGAAATGCCGAAGCGCAAGCGCGGGTACACGGCGGAGGAGGAGGCTCGGCGGCTGCTGAACCAGTGCAGCAAGCACGGCGACCTGCGCGCGGCGCTCGCGCTGTTCGACGCGCACGTGGCGGGCACGGGCCCCGCGTTCCGCACGTACGAGTTCAACATCGCGCTCTACCTCTGCGCGCTCGTCGCCGCCTCGGGGGAGGTGGGGTCCGTCCCGCGGGGCGGGAAGGGGAAGGACGGGGGAAATGGGGCAGGGGCAGGAGAAGGTGGGGAAGACAGCAGCGCGGCAGGAGGGGGAGGAGGGGAAGGGGGGGAGGAGAAGTGGAGCAAGGAGGAGGCGAAGGCGGTGGCGGCGGCGCGCGGAATGGACGTGTGGGCGGACATGCAGCGGAGGGGCGTTCCGCTCAACGAGGCCACCTTCACCGCGCTCGCGCGCCTGGCCTCCGCGCGCGGCGACGCGCCTATGGCGTTCCGCGTGGTGCGCGACATGGCGGAGCAGGGCGTGCCCCCGCGCCACCGCTCGTACGACCCCGCGCTGCTCGCCTTCTGCCGCCAGGGGGACCTGCGCGGCGCGGAAGAGGTTTTTCAGCACATGGCCGCCCGCGGGCTGGCCTCGCTGCCCGAGCAGGTCGCGGCCCTGCTGGACGTGAGCGTGCGAACGGGCAACCCGGGCAGCGTGTACAAAAACATTCACCGCATGCGGAAAGTTGCACGCGGGCTGCCCGAGGACGTGATTGGAACGCTGAGGGGATGGTTTGAGTCTGAACGCGCTAGGCAGGGGGGGGTGGAGAGCGAGGGGGAGGCAAGGGCGGAGGGGGCAGGGGAGGCGGGCAGCAAGGAGGCGGAGGGGGAGGGGGAGAGGGAGGCGCAGGGGGAAGGGGCAGAGGAAGGGCGGAAGGGGTGGACGCAGGAGGAGGCGGAGAGGGCGATGGCAGTGAATGGGGGAGGTTGGCACGGGTTGGGGTGGGCCATGCACAGGGGGGACGCGGCTGGAGGGGGTGCGGGAGAAGCGCAGGGGGGCGCATGGCAGGTACAGGACGTGCGGGTGGACGAGGGGGGCACGTGCAGCGGGTGCAGCACCCGCCTCGCCACCATCGACCTGGACGACGCCGAGACACAGCGCTTTGCGCGTGCCGTGGACGCACTGGTGGAGGCGCGGGGCAAGGCGCGCGAGCTGGCGGCGTTCAAGGCGTGGCTGGCGCGGCACGGGCCGTTCAATGCGGTGGTGGACGCGGCCAACGTGGGGCTGTACAACCAGAACTTCGCCCAGGGGGGCTTTAACTTCTGGCAGCTCCACTCCATCGCCAAGGCTGTCGCTGCTCTGGGGCCCGCAGGCTCGGGTGGAGGTTCGGAGGCAGGTTCGGGGTCGGTGGCCCCGAGGCTGCCGCTGCTGGTGGTGCATCACAAGCGCGTGAAGGGCGGGCCGGCAGCAGAGCCGTTTGCACAGCAGTGCCTGGCGCAGTACGAGCAGCAGCACTGCCTCTTCACCACCCCCACTGGCGCCAACGACGACTGGTACGCTGCTCTGCTGCTCTGTGGTCCTGCTGCTCTGCAGTGCAATCCCATGTGCCTGTTGCCCTTGTTGCTCCTGTTTGCTCCCGCTGCTTCCACTGCTCTCACGCCATGGCAGCAGCTCCAACCCTGCCTCGCCCTGAGCCAACCTCATCCCCATGCCCCATGCCCCGTGCCCCATGCCCCATGCCTCGTGCCCCATGCCCCGTGCCCGTGCCCCATGCCCCATGCCCCATGTCCCATGCCCCATGCCCCGTGCCCCGTGCCCCGTGCCCCGTGCCCCGTGCCCCGTGCCCCGTGCCCCATGCCCCATGCCCCATGCCCCATGCCCCATGCCCCATGCCCCATGCCCCATGCCCGTGCTCCACCCGCCTCCCATCCCTTTTCCTCCTCTCCCCACGTGGCAGGTACTGGCTGTACGCGGCGATATCAATGCGGTGTGTGCTGGTGACGAACGATGAGATGCGCGACCACATCTTCCAGACACTCGGCGCCGACTACTTCCACCGCTGGAAGGAGCGCCACCAGGTGGGGAAGACGGCTGGATGGGGGGTGGATGGGAGGACAAAGAGGGAGGTGGTTGAGTAGCGAGAGCCGGTGGTGTGCTGCCATGGGCCCACCATGGTGCCTGCTGTGTGTGTTTGGCTCCTGCCACATGTGCCATTAACGTGCTTCACTCCCCTTGTATGCGCATGGCTTTGCATGTGCTTGCGTGGTTACTCTGGCGGGGTGTATGGCGCGTGCATGGCATGGCATGGCAGGTGCGGTTCACCATGACAGCGCAAGGCCCAGTGCTGCGCATGCCACCCAACTTCTCCTTCGTCATCAGGTCAGGTCAGACCGTGTGCCGCCCCTCCCCCTCCGAGTAACCTCCCTCCCACACCCCTTGTGTCCGCTTCCTTTGCCACTACTACCTCCCCTCCGGCCTTCTCCTCTTGCAAACTCTGCTCTGTCACCATGCCACATGCCGTGCCCCTCTGTGTGTTGCACTTGCCCCTCCGTATCTCCCTCGTCCACCCCATCCAACCCCCCCAAGCCAATCATCACCATCTTATCATCTCCCCCTTGTCCTCATCCCCTCGCCCCGTGCCACCTGCATGCGCGGCTGCATCCCCCCAGGAGTCAAGCACTGGCGGCTGGCACTTCCCCAAGGCGCACAGCACAGGGGGGCAGGGGGAGAAGGGGGAGGGACGGAAGGGGGAGAAGGATGTGAATTCGGATGAGGGTGGAGGGGAAGTGGAGATGCGGGGAGAAGGGGAGGGGGAAGAACGTGTGAAGGGAGGGAGTGAGGGGGAGGGGGGCAGTGGAGAGGGTGGAGGGGGGTTGTTTGACAAATGGCTGTGTGTGCAATGGAAGAGAGAGTGAGGGATGTGTGCGGGCTACAGAAGGTGCCAGCACGTGACAAGAGGCAGCACCACGAGCACAATGGAGGAGAGCTATCAAGTCATTGACGCCAGATCAGAGGACGTTAAGCTGTCGCTTTTCAGATGCCATGCTTTTTATTACATGTAGAAAATGGTTAGGTTAGGCATCAAGCTAGACTAGATCAAACATGGTTCTTACTCGTACATCTTCCACATATGGCAACAGCATGCCCTAACAGTAACCCCTAGTGTGCTGATGCTTAATGGGTCATGCACTCAGCACCATCCTGTGCAATCCTCATGCCACCCTACGGTATCCCTTTCCAATCCGTGCCCCTGTCACTGGCGGCCCAGCCTGTTTCCTCCGCGCCCTGCCATCTTCTTCACGGCATCGATCACCGCACAGCCCTGCCAGGGGTGATGGATGGTGATGGCGTGGGACGTGGAGGGAGGGAGCGTGGAGGGGAGCAAAAGAGGTTAGCATGGCGGCATGGCGTGCATGTGAGATGTTGTGGAAGAGGAAGAGAATCATGCCAATACCACTGCGTGCGCCTAGGCCGCAATGCAATACCACCACCCACTCCGCTTGCCGCGCTGCTCTTATCTCTGCGCTCACCAGCGCAGTGATGCCGTCGCCCACCCACATCGCCACGTCCACCGCCTTGCGCACGTTCTCGTTGCGTATCCTCTCCGGGTGGTAGCTGCCCCCACACAGATTTGGGAGGGGAGAGGGGACGGGAAGACAGAGCGGTGTGGAGGGAGTGAGAGATGACGCGAGTGGTGAGAAAAAGGACCACAGCAGGCAGCAGCCGTTGAGGCAAGCCCCCAGGTAGCCCAGCCATCTACTGCACGTCGTTGGGAAGAGTGGCGTGGGCGGCAGGCGCGGTGGCGCGGTGGCCGCTCCGCCTCAGCACGGCGGGGCAGCAGCATGCGCGCAGGCCACCGCGCTGCCCGCTGCTCGTCCTCCGCCTCAGCTCCTCGTCGATTGACCCCATCTCTTCCCCGCGCGCGGTGCCTAGTCTGTGCGAATCTCAGTCTCGCCGGCCTCACCTAATCCACCCCGCTCGCCGCGCCGCCGACGCGAGAGTCACGCTGAGCGCTGTCTGGATCACCAGCGCGTCGCCCACCCCCATGCCCGCCTTCCTGCCCGCCAAACGCGGCCGAACGAGGAACTGCGCGAGTAACTGTGGTGGTGACGAGGAAACGATGCAAATCCACGCAACAGAAGCTGTGCTGTGTGAGTTGACCTCGATTGTCGTGGAATTGCTCATGCGAAATGCCATCTGGGAGCAGCATAGTAACGAGGACAGAACTCACAGATGCTCTACATCCCAAAATGTAATTTCTAACGTATGAGAGCAACGATTATGTACACTCATGTGTGTAGATTTTAGCCCTCCATAAACAAACAAGACTTCGTCTCAACTGCTGACTTCCCTAGGAGTCGTCACTAGTGAGCCGGTTTTCCTCGGCATCCCCATCCCCGTCCACATGCAGATCGCCCATCTCCCCCTCCATCTGCACCTCGGCCTCCACCAGCCGTTGATACATCTGCCGCAATCGACGGCTGCGCAGCCACGTCACAAGCGAGAGATACCCAAACCCCACAATGAGCACTGCCAGGCCCACAAACAGCGCAATCCACATGGGAGACAGCGCCTCCGAGGGCACATACACCCACCGCTGCTCACACGGGCCCACCAGCTCCGGTGCCGGCAGGGGGGCAGCGCCGGGGAGAGTGGGGGTGCAGTGGTGCGGCTGGCGCCACGCGTAGGTGACGTTGCGGTTGCCGTTGGCGTCGGTGCAGTCCCCCTGGGTGCGGATGATGTCGCCTGGCTTGCACGGCTCACATGGCTCGTCTGGGGGTAAAGGGTTGGACGGGTTCAGCTGACACACCTGGGGGGACAAAGGGAGGCGAGGGGGAGAGGGGGGGTTGAATGCAGAAAGGGAAGAGGAGAGAGGAGGTGGAGGAGCGTTGGGGGGACAATCGGCGATGGAATGATGAGCACAAATGGAGGCAATTGGAGAACGATGCAGCACCAAGGAACAACCTTGGGCGCAGAACACCCTGGGAGTTTTCGAGTGAGCCGATTCAGAATTCACGCAGTAAGCAGCAGCACCACATGCGCGCATGCAGCACAGCACAGCATACCCGGGGCGACTTCCACTTGAAGGTGGCCCTCTTCTCATCCATGCACTCTGCCGTCTCCACGCGCTCATAGTCCTCGTGCGAGCACAGCGGGCACGCAAACAGCGAGTACCACACCAGGCTGAACGAGCAGTCGCTGTGCTCTATGCGCTGCACCGCTCCTCCCCGTTGCACATACTGCGGGTACCCCAGCACCGGGTTCAGCGCTGCCATCTGCCCTTCCTCCGTCCATGCCTCCGGCTGCCCGTGACCTGGTGTGGGTAGGGTGGGATGGTTGGTGGAGGATGGTGGGATTTGGATAGTAAATGGTGGATACATGACAGTGGTGCCCTGCTGCTCGGTACCACACACACAGCTTCCCCTACCAAACCCGACACCGCCTTATCTCCGAACCCCATCCCTCACCAGCAGCGGGGTCACAGATGAAGGTGAGGTTGGTCTCGCGAGGCATGTTAGTCTGCGGGCACTCGTCCCCTGTCAGCACCATCACCAGTCCCCGCCGGTACAGCCCTGCATGCACTGCTGCCAGCGGGTACACTGCCACTGCACTGCCTAGATTGTGCCCCGGCCGTGCCCCGCTTGTGGCCTCCCGCGGGTCCACCTGCATGGGGTGGCGCGCGGTGGGGACATGGGGCGAATGGAGGTGCGGTGATTGGATGAGCTGCGGGGGTGTTGGAGCGAGGGGAGGAGAGAGTGGGGGAGATGGGGAGGATGGAGAGCAGGATGGAGAGTAGGGGAGGAGGTGGAGTGTTGCAGTGAGGCAGAGAGTCAGGAGCAGCACTAGCACATGAGAGTAGCACGTTGGGTAGCGCACCCTTGTACCTTGCATGCATAGGTATTGAGTGACCGCCCTGAGTAATCGTAGCATGTGTCGTTGCTGCTGTCACGATCGCACACACTCAAGAAATACTCCGCTGCCTGGCCCCTTCCCCCCTTGCTCCCCCTCCCTCCCTGCCCACCGCCCCCTCCCGCCCCTCCGTCTGCAACTGCTTCCCCCCCAGCAGCATCAGCATCAGGGTGAGCAGCAGCAGCAGCATCGAGCACAGGGCCAAACATGCGGCCAGGGTGCATGCGAGACAGCGGGGAGAGGTCAAACACCACTGCTGCTGCCGACTCATTGCCCCTCACACCACCCACCGCGCCCGGAAATGCACCCCCTTCCCTTGCTCCCCCTTCCATCCCCCTCTTCCCCTTCCCATCTTCCTCCCGCTCTGCACCCCCTTCCCCCTCCTGCCCCTCCTGGGGGGGGTTAGGGATACGAGGCAGCGCGTGAGTGGGGAGGTCAAAGGTGCAGAAGGAGGCGGGGCGGGCGGCATCACCGATGAAGCACTCCGTGCTGGCCGCCAGGGACGACGTGCCCGCCCCACACGGCATGCACTCCCACTGCGGGCCCTACCATGCATGCCACGGCACAGTGGCACCAGAGGCACGGTAGCACATGAGAAGCACAGTCACAGGCAGAGTGGGATGGGGGACATGCGGGAATGGAGGCACAATGGGTGTGGGCCATGGGCATGTCGAGAGGAAGTGCGGAACAAGTGGTTGGCATGGCAAGCATGGGATGCATGCAGCGGTACCACACAGCATCCTGCATGCATTGGCGTGGGAATGGACTGGTTTGACATGGAATGGAGTGGGCGTGGCATGGCAGGGGCGCACCTGGGGCTTGTTGTTAAAGGTGTTAGGTGGGCACGGCAGGCAGGATGAGGCACCGCCCTCACTGAAGGTGCCGGGGGGACACGGCACGTACAAGTCGCCCCCGGCTGCTAGCGTTGACCCCGGCGGCACCTCCTCACACCGCGCTGCACCGCCCTCCGCCACTCCCTCTATCTGCATGGAAGTGTTGCAGGAAGGCAGGTAGGCAGGCACACAGAGACGGGACCATGAGGACACACAATCACGCTCTGGCTGTATGAGCTTCTGATAAGGCACACACGACATCGTAAACACCATCTCACCATACCACCATATTGGCATGTATGTGCATGCACAGCAACCGCACACGCACATGGATGTCATAGATGACAGCAGAGTCCCGCGTGGTCCTGGTAGCGGCTCCCGTGTCATCCAGCTTCTGCCACACCCACATCAGCGAGTGCCGCCCCACATCCAGCTCCCACATGCCACTCATGCGCGTCTCATCCTCCCCCGCCCCCGGGTGCTCTTCCTGCTCCCCGCCCTCCTCCCACTCCACCCGTTGTTGCTGGCGGACGGAAGGGGCAGAGGGAAGGGGTGGGAGGGTATGAGTGGGAAGGGACGATGGGAGCAATTGGTTGGACAAGGGAGGGAGGATGGAGAGGCGCTGCTGCTGGGAAACCGGCAAAGGAACCGGGGGAAAAGAACCGGATAGTTTCCCGGTTGCCCGGTTTCCCGGTTTCCCGGTTGCCCGGTTGCCCGGTTGCCCGGTTGCCCGGTTGCCCGGTTTCCCGGTTTCCCGGTTTCCCGGTTTCCCGGTTTCCCGGTTTCCCGGTTGCCCGGTTTCCCGGTTGCCCGGTTGCCCGGTTGCCCGGTTTTCCCGGTTTCCCTGTTTCCCGGTTGCCAGGTTTCCCGGTTTCCCGGTTTCCCGGTTGCCCGGTTGCCCGGTTTCCCGGTTTCCCGGTTTCCCGGTTGCCCGGTTGCCCGGTTGCCCGGTTTCCCGGTTTCCCGGTTGCCCGGTTGCCCGGTTTCCCGGTTTCCCTGTTTCCCGGTTGCTTGGTTGCCCGGTTTCCCGGTTTCCCGGTTGCTTGCCCGGTTGCCCGGTTTCCAGGTTTCCCGGTTTCCCGGTTTCCCGGTTGCCCGGTTGCCCGGTTGCCCGGTTGCCCGGTTTCCCGGTTTCCCGGTTTCCCGGTTTCCCGGTTTCCCGGTTGCCCGGTTTCCCGGTTGCCCGGTTTCCCGGTTTCCCGGTTTCCCGGTTGCCCGGTTGCCCGGTTGCCCGGTTGCCCGGTTGCCCGGTTTCCCGGTTTCCCGGTTTCCCGGTTTCCCGGTTGCCCGGTTGCCCGGTTGCTCGGTTCCCCGGTTGCCCGGTTGCCCGGTTGCCCGGTTGCCCGGTTGCCCGGTTTCCCGGTTTCCCGGCTTCCCTTTTTCCCGGTTGCCCGGTTGCCCGGTTTCCCGGTTGCCCGGTTGCCCGGTTTCCCGGTTTCCCGGTTGCCCGGTTGCCCGGTTGCCCGGTTGCCCGGTTTCCCGGTTTCCCGGTTGCCCGGTTGCCCGGATTCCCGGTTGGCCGGTTGGCCGGTTGCCCGGTTGCCCGGTTTTGCGGTTTCCCGCTTTCGCGGTTTCCCGGTTGCCCGGTTGCCCGGTTTCCCGGTTGCCCGGTTGCCCGGTTTCCCGGTTGCCCGGTTGCCCGGTTGCCCGGTTGCCCGGTTGCCCGATTGCCCGGTAGCCTGGTTTCCCGGTTTCCCGGTTTCCCGGTTTCCCGGTTTCCCGGTTGCCCGGTTGCCCGGTTTCCCGGTTGCCCGGTTGCCCGGTTGCCCGGTTTCCCGGTTTCCCGGTTGCCCGGTTTCCCGGTTGCCCGGTTGCCCGGTTGCCCGGTTGCCCGGTTGCCCGGTTTCCCGGTTGCCCGGTTGCCCAGTTTCCCGGTTTCCCGGTTTCCCGGTTTCCCGGTTTCCCGGTTGCCCGGTTGCCCGGTTGCCCGGTTTCCCGGTTGCCCGGTTGCCCGGTTTTCCCGGTTTCCCTGTTTCCCGGTTGCCAGGTTTCCCGGTTTCCCGGTTTCCCGGTTGCCCGGTTGCCCAGTTGCCCGGTTCCCCGGTTGCCCGATTGCCCGGTTTCCGGGTTTCCCGGTCTCCCTTTTTCCCGGTTGCCCGGTTTCCCGGTTGCCCGGTTGCCCGGTTGCCCGGTTGCCCGGTTGCCCGGTTTCCCGGTTTCCCGGTTTCCCGGTTTCCCGGTTGCCCGGTTTCCCGGTTGCCCGGTTGCCCGGTTTCCCGGTTTCCCGGTTTCCCGGTTGCCCGGTTGCCCGGTTGCCCGGTTGCCCGGTTTCCCGGTTTCCCGGTTTCCCGGTTTCCCGGTTGCCCGGTTGCCCGGTTGCCCGGTTGCCCGGTTTCCCGGTTTCCCGGTTGCCCGGTTGCCCGGTTTCCCGGTTGGCCGGTTGCCCGGTTTCCTGGTTTCCCGGTTTCGCAGTTTCGCGGTTTCCCGGTTGCCCGGTTGCCCGGTTGCCCGGTTGCCCAGTTTCCCGGTTTCCCGGTTTCCCGGTTTCCCGGTTGCCCGGTTGCCCGGTTGCCCGGTTGCCCGGTTGCCCGGTTTCCCGGTTTCCCGGTTGCCCGGTTGCCCGGTTTCCCGGTTGCCCGGTTGCCCGGTTGCCCGGTTGCCCGGTTTCCCGGTTTCCCGGTTTCGCAGTTTCGCGGTTTCCCGGTTGCCCGGTTGCCCGGTTGCCCGGTTGCCCAGTTTCCCGGTTTCCCGGTTTCCCGGTTTCCCGGTTGCCCGGATTCCCGGTTTCCTGGTTGCCCAGATTCCCGGTTTCCCGGTTGCCCGGTTGCCCGGTTTCCCGATTTCTCGGTTGCCCGGTTGCCCGGTTTCCTGGTTTCCCGGTTTCCCGGTTTCCCGGTTGCCCGGTTGCCCGGTTGCCCGATTGCCCGGTTGCCCCGGTTTCCCGGTTACCCAGTTTCCCGGTTTCCCGGTTTCCTGGTTTCCTGGTTTCTAATGCACAGGAATCACCTCCAAATAGTCCATGAGGTCATGGTCGATAAAGAAGAAGAAGGCGCGGCCAGGGTCGCCAGGGAGGATGTCAACGGAGTAGTTGAAGGTCATGTACCCGCGCACCGCCATGTGCACCTCCAGCGCCAGCCATATCTGATGCCGCAGGGGCGCCAGGGGTGGCAGCAGCAGCAGCAGTGGGGAAGAGAGGTGAGGGAGACAAGGGAAGTAGGAACCACTGAGGCCAGAGGAATTCATGGGAATAATAAGCCACTTGCGGCCTTGTTTGAAATGCCTCCAGTGGGCGTGAGCAGTGAGCACATCCGTCCTCACGGTGGCAGTGGGCCCGTGGTCCGTGATCCATCCATGCGTCCATCCATGTCTCACCGTGGCGGTGGGCCCGTGGCCGCTGCCCGAGTCGAGGTGGTCCTGAAAGGCGCGCCAGCCGAAGGTGCCGCAGTCACCGTGGCAGCCGGTGGTGAAGTTGGGGGGCAGTGCGCCGTTGGGCTGCATGCTGAAGTGCCTCAGCGACAGGGTCTTCATCGCCACCTGCCCTGCGCTGCACGCCTCGCACCGCCCCTCCAAGATGTTTCCGCTGCTGCCCGCTCCCCCCTCGTAGCTCGCCTGCCGCGCCGTGCCCTGCGGGGATGTGGGGTGTGGGGAGTGGGAGCGGAGGGAGGTGTGGTTGGGTTTGGTGAGGGTGTCTCAGGGAAGGTTCGATGGTCGGGCGAGCAGCGATGGGCAAATAGGGAAGAGGCAGGAGTGGTGCAGGAGGGAAAGGAGGCTCACGGGAGGGCAGAGCATGCAGCGAATCTCCCCTGAGTGCGGGTGGGGCTCTGCCTGCTGGGCATCAGGGCACGGCTCTGATGGGGTGCGATGAGACCCGGAGGGAGCAGAGGTAGGGAGGCATGGGAAGGATGAGATGGGGCATGGCTGGGAGGTGGGTTGGGAGGAATGGCATTCTGTGGGCTTTGTACTCCTTGTGGCATGGCTCCCGCTGCATCTCGTGGTTTGGCATGGTATGGCATGGCATGGCATGGCATGGCATGGCATGGCATGGCATGGCATGGCATGGCATGGCATGGCATGGCATGGCATGGCATGGCATGGCATGGCATGGCATGGCATGGCAGCTCACCGCAGTCAAGGGGCATGTCCATTGGGAGAGTGATGTTGGAGGGGTCACGGATCTGAGGCTGGATCCACTGCCACTTCTGCATGCGTGCACACACAAATGAAGGAGAGAGGCAGGGATGACAGTGAGGAGACGTGCAAGTAGGGACAACATGGACGATGATGGCGGGCAGTGATTGCAGGAGGGCAGGGGGATGAAAGAGAGGGCGCCATGGCATGGCATGGCATGGCATGGCATGGCATGGCATGGCCTGGCATGGCATGGCATGGCCTGGCATGGCATGGCATGGCATGGCATGGCATGGCATGGCATGGGCTCACCATGATTCGCTTCTTGGAGGCGAGCTGGCATGGCGTGTATGTGATGGTGGAATCGCTCACACTGCATGCTGATTTGTGGTGGGGGAAAGGGTAGAGCAGAGAGGTGGCATGAGGGAGAGGTATGAGATGAGAATGCGTGGTGCGAGGGATGGCGAGGAGCAAGTGAGAAGAGGCCACACATGTGGCAATGGTGGCTTGCACGCTCACGAGGGCAAGGATTGCACGCTCACGCAGGCGGGGTCTGCACTCGGTGCGGGGGACGATGCGCGCATATGCGCTGCTCCCACATGGCGTGCACTCTGATGCCCCCTCCCTGCCATCATGGATGCATGCACAACCACATGCACATGCACATGCACACGCACATGCACATGCACACTCACATGCACACTCACATGCACACTCACACGCACATGCACATGCACACGCACATGCACATGCACATGCACACGCACATGCACATGCACATGCACATGCACACGCACATGCACATGCACATGCACATGCACGTGCACATGTACTTTTATTTGCAAGTGCAAGTATGTGTGTGTGTGCATGAACGGTGCGTGAGCATAGAGCCTTGCACATGCAAACATGGAGGGGAGGATCAAAAGGATGCCCACGGTATGGACATCTCATGTGGTGAAGTGCTTGGATTGAAAGATCCAGTCCACTGACCCCTGTTCGACTCACTTGGAAATGGTGTTCTCGGGACATGGCTCACATGCACCCGCACCCTCCGCACTGCTCGCATGCACAGGGACACATGGGGGGATGTGGAGTGAAGCGGGGAGAGGGGGGAAGGGAATGAGGGAATGAGGGGATGAGGGTAGGAGGCGGAAAGGAGAGGAGGAGAGGGGAAAGAGAAGAAAAGGGTGGAGGGAAGGATGGGGGGCAGGGAGGGGGGAAGGCAGGGAGGAGGGGAGGTTGGAGTGGCAGCAGTGCAGTAGGCAGGAGGGGAACACATTGCAGGTGGTGCATGAGGAGAGAATGGTTCAAGCAAGCACGCAGCATTGCAATGGCATCGTCAATCCACCACGGAAGGAGTGACTCGTACACGTGCTAGTGCACCGTTGCAAGTGTCTGCAGGGTTTGGGCCAGCAGGGCTAGTGCGAGTGCGAGTGTGAGCAGGGGTGGGCGAGGGAGTGGTGACCTGTAGAAGCCGGCGGGGCATGGCGTGCAGTGGAAGTCATTGAATGCCACCCCATCCACCTCTATGTACTGCCACGAGGTGATGGACGGGAGGAGGAGGGGGGTTGTGGTATGTGTGTGAAGAGACAGCATGGCATACGGATGACATGGATACAAATGGCATGTGAGCTTGCATGGCATGACACGGCATGGCATGGAAAGGTATAGCGACTGACCGGGATGGTGGCGATGTCTTCCCCCTTGCTCCACTTGTCATCCTTGCTATACACCCACACCAGCCGGTGCTGCCCCGCCTCCACCGGGAACACCATCTCCCGTGGCTCAAACTGCCGCCACGCACAGGGGGATGCACAGGCACAGCGGAACAATGAAAGGAGTAAGGTAGAGGCATGAGCCGCAACCTTCAGGTCTCTTGAGCGACAGCGATGGGAGGGAGATGGGAGGGAGATGGGAGGGAGATGGGAGGGAGATGGGAGGGAGATGGGAGGGAGATGGGAGGGAGATGGGAGGGAGATGGGAGGGAGATGGGAGGGAGATGGGAGGGAGATGGGAGGGAGATGGGAGGGAGATGGGAGGGAGATGGGAGGGAGATGGGAGGGAGATGGGAGGGAGATGGGAGGGAGATGGGAGGGAGATGGGAGGGAGATGGGAGGGAGATGGGAGGGAGATGGGAGGGAGATGGGAGGGAGATGGGAGGGAGATGGGAGGGAGATGGGAGGGAGATGGGAGGGAGGCAACAAGTGGGGGGGAGATGATGAGATGGGGCTAGGTACAGCCATGGGGGTTACCTGGTAGGAGGTGAGCGCCATGAGTGGCTCTGAGAGCGAGTCGATGTAGAAGGCGAGCCCATCGTGACCCATCTCTGCGCTCACTGTGAAGTTGAACCTCACGTACGTGCACCGGGGGGAGCGTTGAGAGGCGCAAAGGAGGGAGCGTGGAGGAGTGTGACGGCAGAGTGGAGGAGTGTGACGGCAGAGTGGGGCAAGCCCATCGCCATCTCCGCACTCACCGTGAAGTTGAACTTCACGTACCAGCGCACAGAGGGGGAGGAAGAAAGTGGGGCGGGTTGGGGTGAGGGTGGTGGAAGGAGGGCGAGCAGGAGAGCTGTTTGTGGTGCAGAGAGCTGCCTGGCGCGTTGCTATTCTCTGATATCCACCCTTGCCCACCATCTCGCCCTCCCACTGCACATCCCCCTCTCGTCCTTTTCACCACTACACCAGTCCTCGCGGGCACTGCAGCCAACGTGGCAGGCATGCAGCGTCTCACCCGTCTCTGACAAGGTGCACGTCGAGGGAGAGAGAGGAGCGCAGGTTGTTGTGGCAGTTGTACGCCGGGTCCGATGCGCACACCTCCTGGTGGGTGGTGGGTCAAGCAGGTCCAAGGGTTCAACAGGTTTGGGGATCAACAAGGTTGGGGGTCAATGGAGTTGTCTAGTGGATGTGAGGGCGGGGTGCATGGAGGGGGTTGGGAGGGAGGAGAGAAACCGTGAACGAGAGAGTAGGCAGGACGTGAGTGCAGGTGGCGGGTAGGTCAGCAGAGGAGCACTGGGGAGAGTCTCACCGGCAGCCAGTCGTTGATGTAGTCGTATGCGCCCGCCTCAAATGCACCATCATCTGCATACCAGCTGCGCAGTCAGTGGGGGGGACATGCAGCCACACACAGAGGCGAGAGTGGATGCGATGAGACAGGGGAGGAGTGCACAGAGGCGCACAGGGGTGCACAGGGGTGCACAGGGGCACAGAGGGTGCGGAGGTTGTGTGGGCAGTAAGGGCGGGCGGGGATGAAGGCATCTGGTAGGTTAAGTGCAGCAGGTGGTGAAACAAGTGAGGGAGGAGCAAGACAGCAAGGAACGGTGGAGTGGAGGAGAGCATGTATGGTGGCATGGCCGGGGTGGGAGCAGAGGGACAGCAAGGGTGGTGGGGGGCGGGGCAGTGAGGGCGGAGGGGCAACGTACGGGTCGCAGGGGAAGGTGCCAGAGGCGTTGGTGAACCTGCACTCCGTCTGGGGGACAGGGGCGGGGATGGGGGCACGAGGGAATGGCACACGCGTGCACAGCTGAGGTCAAGACAGAGATGGAGTGATTCCCGGCGAAGGGGTGCAATGGCCTCCCGGCGAGCGCCCGGGGGGTGCAACGGCCTCCCGGCGGGCGGGCAGGGGGGTGCAATGGCCTCCCGGCGAGCGCCCGGGGGGTGCAACGGCCTCCCGGCGGGCTGGCAGGGGGTGCAATGGCCTCCCAGCGAGCGCCCGGGGGGTGCAACGGCCTCCCGGCGGGCGGGCAGGGGGTGCAATGGCCTCCCGGCGAGCGCCCGGGGGGTGCAACGGCCTCCCGGCGGGCGGGCAGGGGGTGCAATGGCCTCCCGGCGAGCGCCCGGGGGGTGCAACGGCCTCCCGGCGGGCTGGCAGGGGGTGCAATGGCCTCCCAGCGAGCGCCCGGGGGGTGCAACGGCCTCCCGGCGGGCGGGCAGGGGGTGCAATGGCCTCCCGGCGAGCGCCCGGGGGGTGCAACGGCCTCCCGGCGGGCGGGCAGGGGGTGCAATGGCCTCCCGGCGAGCGCCCGGGGGGTGCAACGGCCTCCCGGCGGGCTGGCAGGGGGTGCAATGGCCTCCCGGCGAGCGCATGGGGGGAGGCCTGGTCATGTACACACAAGAGTGAACTGCTCGAAGGGTTATATTGTGTGTGTGTGCACACACGGACAGCATGATGGTGGTATCAGCCATTCTACATGTGATGCGTGTGCGCTCCCCTCATGCCATGCCATGCCATGCATGCATACGGGGTGCGTACCTTGAAGTAGAGGGGGTCGATCTCAGATATGTCTTGGAACCGCCACTTCCCCCCCATGCTGTACGTGCCTGGTGTGGTAGACACGTGGAAGGGGTGTGTGGCACGTGAGAGAGAGCAAGCAAGCAAGCAGCTTCAATTGAACAAGGTCGTGCATATTCCTACCAAACCAACTCACATGACACCACCGTTTCCTGCTAAGACTTCCCCCTCCCTCCCTCCCCTCGCCCCACCTCACCCCGTGTGCTCTGACTGGAACCCGCCAGTCAGCCCAGATGCTTGCCTCTCCTCTGCTCGGTCCCCTTCCCTCAGCCCCCACCTGCATGCAAGGTCCCTGCCTTCCTGCCTTGCCTCGCCCCCGGCCCCCTGTCACTACCAGGAGAAGCGAGTTCGAGGGCGCACCTGCAGGGCACTTGTGGCAGTGGTCGTGGTGCAGGTAGTGCCCCGCCCCGCACTGCATGTCTGCCGGTTGCGCGGGGGAGGGCGGGAGGGGGTGGGAGTGAGGGGAGAGTAACAAGGGGGTGATTGGGAGAGAGGGGAGAGTGGGAACACGAGCATTCTGATGCGAACTTTGCCATATCTAGCTTGGTTAGGCAATAAGCAGGGGCCGAAAGAGTGTGGTGAGTGGTGGTGACGAGGCGAGTGAGTGAGGCAGTCTGGGGTGGGGTGGGTGGTACGTTGGTAAAGCATCAGCGTAGGTAAGGCGAGGGGAGGACTGAAATGGGTGTGCGAGAGAGTGTGGGTATAAGAGTGTGGAGTGGAGTGGGGGCTGTACCGCAGGGAATGAAGGTGGTGGGGGGCAGGTGAACGGAGCCCCGCCTGTAGGGGTCACACTCCTGGTTGAAGAAATAGATCACCTGCGCAGGAACAAGTAGAAAGGGGAGGGGAGAGGGAGGGAAGGGATGAATGGTAGGCAACAAGGGGGCGCGTGGTGCATGCAAGAAGGGGAATGAGTGAGGCATGAGGAGTGGTGGGCGGGGGATGTGAAGGAGTGGAGGGCAGGAGGAACAGAGCGAGACATTAGTAGCACACAGGAAGGAGGGAGGGAGCGACCCAATTGCACCTCAACGAAAGGCGTAGCAGAGATGTTGAGGCCAGTGAGCGGGTCGCGCATGAAGTCACAGTCAGAGTAGATGGCATCCACGTGTGCCTCCGTGCATGGCGCTTGTGATAGCCCTGCGTGATCTGGCATTGCATGGGATGGAATGGCATGGCATGGCATGGCATGGGATGGCATGGCATGTGGGTGGTGCATGACAGTCATCACATGTAGGTGTGTGCGAGTAGCACTTGAATGGGAGAGCGGTCTGTGTGTGACATGCATGGCGCATTGTGCTCGGGCAGAGAACCTGACAGGGAGAACAAGGCATTTGAAATGGAGTAAAGGGGCAAGGCGTAGAGGGGGATGGGGGTGCGAGGAGGAGTGGAGGAGGAGTACTGACCGCAGTAGACATTGTCCACAGGTATGAGCTCTGACTGCTGTGCTCCCGTGCAGTCTGGCCAGGGCCAGGCAGCATGTGAGGATGGCAGTGGGGGGGGAGAGGGATGGGGAAGAGGAACAAGAGGTTAATGTTAGAAGGAGGTTAGGAGGAAGAGCAGAGTGTCAGAAGCATCTGTTGATATTTTTGCATGCTGCATGCATGGTTGATAAATGACTCACTGACTGGCAGGTACTGCATGTAGCACGTGGCGCCATCATCAGAGGGCGTGTAGATGACGTCATAGTCCTCTGGCGTGCATGCTGCCGGGCAGGGGCATACAGGGCCATGGGTGGATCAGCATGAGGTGGGGGATGTCAGTTGATGGGCTTGAAAGAAGGCGAGTTGGGGATGGTCATGCAAGAAGGCCGGAACGGATAACTCCTGAGTGGGAGTGACCCCCGAGTGGGGTTGAATCCCGAGTGGGGGTGAATCCCGAGTGGGGGTGACTCCCGAGTGGGGGTGAATCCCGAGTGGGATGGGTTGAGGCCACTGTGGCTTGACTTTGTCTGTGCACATGGCGTCATTCACACTTGCTGCACTCACTGCACGGCTCCTGCTGCACTCACTGCACGGCTCCTGCTGCACTCACTGCACGGCTCCTGCTGCACTCACTGCACGGCTCCTGCTGCACTCACTGCACGGCTCCTGCTGCACTCACTGCACGGCTCCTGCTGCACTCACTGCACGGCTCCTGCTGCACTCACTGCATGGCTCCTGCTGCACTCACTGCATGGCTCCTGCTGCACTCACTGCATGGCTCCTGCTGCACTCACTGCATGGCTCCTGCTGCACTCACTGCATGGCTCCTGCTGCACTCACTGCACGGCTCCTGCTGCACTCACTGCACGGCTCTTGTTGCGAGGGCTGCACGGGGAAGGGGTCGGTGCAGTTGCGCGCCCTCACAAACGACACTGTGCGCCGCGCTGCACCTGCACTCCACTCCGCACGGCAAGGCACGTGGGGAGAAGAGAAGCAGAGGGAGAGGAAGGGGAAGGCGGAGGAAGGAACCACCAGTAGGAGGTTTGGGGTAAAGGACGGATACGGTTAAGGTGATTGCGAGCTTTGTGTGTTTTGAGTCGACTTAAAACGCGCTGAAGTAGCAGCGAGTGGTAACAGCGAGGTGGTCTGTGTGTGTCTGGTGAAGGAGAAGGTACAGACACCACGCTAGCCACATTTCGCGAGGCAAACACAAGCCAACCTCTCGTTAGAAGAGCGCTGCTCACTGTCACATGCGCCCGACTGTCTGATGTAGTCTGTCAGCCCGCACGTCGTTGACAGCTGCTCCGCCTCCTCGCGCGACGCTTCCGCGCCCCCCGCCTCTTGCGCCGCCGCTCCGCTCACGGTTTCCCCCTCCGCAGGGGAAGGCGGAGGCGCAGCTTCCGGGGAAGGAGGCGGAGTGGGTGCGTTATTCCGTAAATCACTGCTCGGCTCTGTCCCGCTTCCAGCAGGCGGAGCCTGTGGGGGAGCCGACAGCTGCGGAGGCTGCTGCGCCGGTGGCTCCGCGGATGGTTGGGATGCCGGCGCGTTTGCAGCGCTGACAGATTGTCGATCATTCAAAGACGGCTGGGATTCAGCTGGCGAATGTGCGAACAATTCGGACTGCACTGGTGGCGATGCTCGAGGTGGAGTCTCGTTGGACGGTTGCTGATCGACAGATGACGGGGATGTTGCATTAATTCTAGGTTGTGAGCCTGAGACGGCTTGCGACTGCTGCGGCAATCCCGAGGGTTGCCCGCTTGGAGGATCATTGGCTAGTGAAGGCGGAATGGACACCATTAATATCGCTAGAACGGCCGTAACCATGAACCCATGAGCCATTGGCAAAGTTACGCCAGCAATGCGAATGCCTTCTTCACGAACCAGTCGGGCCCTTAGACTGACAATGTAGGGGATAATGCTAACTTCATTCCTGAGTTATTCCCTTAGCATCCATCATGGTGGGATGATATCAAGGAGACCAAGCAACTAGTTCGTGCCATCCGAAGGTGGTTGTGTAAGATGGTGGCGCTCGCAAAATTTAGTAACTGCATCTCGCAACCAATACGATTGTGTCGCTGGCGCAGTCGCTCTTCAGAAACCATGGGCCCCCCTCAAGCCTCGCGCTTCGCTGTTGTTGAAAGCTCGCACCTGCACGATGGAAAAGAAGTCCAGTTATAAGCGGTTTCAGCGCTGTTTCAAGATTTATGCTGTATTAGATGCTTCATACCTTTGTATCATTTGGATGCCAATATAATTGTTTTTCCAAGTTAAGAAATATTCTTGAAAAAGATCCCTGTGAACTTTTTTTCTTATTAGCATAACTATCTTGGGATATAATCTTAATAACACTCACCGCAAGTGCATATTGCTAGATATAAGGCTATTTATTTGAGCATTCGTGATTGCCACAATATTACACTCCAGCACTCGCGCCGCCGTCGGAAACGGAGAAATGGGCAAAAGGAAAGTCAAGCCGCGTCTTTGCAAAATGACCGTTCCAAATGTTCGGTCCTCCTCATTTCCTCCCGTTGCTCCCGAAAATCCCGACCGAGCCCCACCACCACGGTCCATACCACACACACACTCCCATCCCCAAGGCCTTCGAATCCCTTCCTCATCCCACGTTCTCGGTTCAGTTTCCCATTTTGACAACAGAGAGAACCCGTTCGCGTGACGCATTTGCATTTCCTTGTTCATCCAGCACTTCGAAAACTCAGAGACTTGGCAATTTCAGGATCCCGTCTCGCATAGATTAGCCGTTTGACATGCGCCTTCTGCAACCCCCTTGGTACGTTTTTCATCACAATGGCGGTAGGCAGTGGACGAATAGTACATGAGAGCATATCGGAATATGACGTGCTAGCGTCGTCGCCATCCAAGACTGTGTTGAAATTTATTGACGGAGACCACGATGTGGCGTCTAGCTCCGTGTCGCCTCTATCCATGTCGCTATCGCTGTCGGGGACTTTTAGCTGCGACAGTTCGCGCCTTAGCTGCGACGGCGCGCCAGACGACACGGGCTGGGAGAGCCCCTCGGATTGCGGCGCCGACGCGGTCTTCGGCGCGCAATACGGGGACCGCCTCCCGAGCCGCAGGCGGAGCTTCGCAGGCGCGGGTACAAACCTCTCGATCGGACGGCTGTCGGATGGGCATTTGAGCCTGGAGCGCGCGTGCAAGTCGGCGACGGTGCCGCGCGTCAGCAGCCGCCTGCTGGCCCCCACCCAGTCGTCGCAGGCCAAGTCGCGCTCTCTCGCCCATCGGCGCGCAGCGGAGGACGGTGGGTCGGTGGGGCGCGAACCGTTCAGCACCTCGTCGCAGCCACGTAGGACCAAGGCTGTCACGGCAGCAGCAGGAACGGAACGCGGAACGGCTTCAGCAGCAAACTCAAACGAGCGTGTGCATGCGCTGATCTGTAGCCCACCTCGCGGAAAGATTTCAGTGGAAAAATCGGCACAGAACGCAGCAAAAGGCGGGCAGCGCGGGCAAGGGCGGCGACTGTCAGACGCGAGTGAGAATCTGGCGCTGAAGCTGGCCAAGCACCGACAGGGGCTGGGAGTGGTGGGCGTCGGAGGCCCCAAGTCGGGTGCTGCTGGCGCCGCTGCCGCTCAACAGGTGCCACGTGGCGAGAGGATGGGACCTCGAGGGGGGGCTGCGGCTCCGCCTGTGTCCTCCAAAGTGCCGGCGGCGGGCAGGAAGCCTCTGGTCGCGGGATCTGCGGGGAACGTAGCGCAGAGCCGCGTTGCGGGGGGGGAAGTGAAGCCCCAACAGCGCCTGCTTGACGGGAAAGGCGCGCCTGGTGGTAGCGGTGGGGGGAAGAACGAAAAGCGGGTAGTGGGGACAATCGGAGTGGGGAACGGTGGGAGGGGCGTGAGCGCGGAGCAAAGGACGAAGGAGCGTAATGAGCGGCAAGAGGCTGCCCGTCACACAGAGCTGTCGCGAGGGACGAGGGGCAGTGGAAGGCGGGCAGCTGCGCAAGGCGCGGGAAGCAGCTGCGGTGCGAAAGGCACGCAAGGGAGCAATCATAGTAAGGAGATCCACTCTGCACCCCTTACGGCATCGCTGACTGCATCCCACGCGCAGCACGCTCCTTCGTCCCAGCACCCGCCTCCTCGTCATGATCAACCGCCTTTGATCACGCAACCAGCTGGTAAACAGCCCACCAGCCAAACCAGCGCCCTCCACCACCTTCGCGCTCCCGCCCAGCCTCCTCCCCCTCCCCCTCACCTTCCCCTCCCCCTCCCCATCCTCCGCGGGGTCCGCGGACGACGCGGACATGCCGTGGGCGGAGCTGATAGGCGACGTGCGCGGCATGGAGCAGGACGTGCAGTACGTGCGCCACGCCATGCTCGCCGCTGGCTTCCTCTCCGACGCGCTCCCCCCCCTCTTCTCCCCCTACCTCCCCATCAACCCCGCCTTCTTTCAGCACCTCGAAGCCGCCTTCCTCATGCGCTGCTGCGCGCACCCCCCCCACGACCCGGCTCTCCTCACCACCAGCCTGCCCTCGCTCCCTCTCACCATACCCGCATCGTACAACGAGGAGCGCCGTCAGCGCATGCTGCTCTTTGACGCCGTCAATGAAGCCCTCGGCCGCCGCCTCGTGCCTTTCCTCCCACGCGCGCCGTGGTCCCCCCCGCCCGTGCAAGTGGCGCCACGCAGGCGGCCTGTGGGCATGGAGCTGGTGCAGGAGGTGTGGTCGGAGATTCACTCATGGCCCGTGGCGTCCACTGATGAGGTGTACACCGTGCTGGATGAGTCAGCGAGGCGTGATTTGTGGAGGGGCACGGAGAGGTGGCGTGCACAGGATGTGGCAGAGGAGGAGCCGGGTGTTGTGTTTGATGTGGAAGGGGTGTTGCTGGAGGGGCTGCTAGAGGAGGTTTGCCTGGAGTTTGTAGAGGTGGAGCAGAGGCGGGCGAGTAAGAGGATGTCAGTGCACGGAGTGGTGAAGGCACATATTGCATCATCAGGTTTCGTATGTGCGAGTAATGTAAAGGGGTCTGGAAGGGATGGAGTGGTGGCACTACTTGGCCCTGCTTGTCCAACTGCTGTGAGTAAGAACGTGCTTCGGCTTCCAAGGATGTGATGTGTTGCGGAGGGAATAAATCATGTCCATAATCTAGTTTCTGTTTTGCCACTTCTTTGTTGCTATGGTAGGCTAACATAGTCACCCTTTTGTTCTATATAATCTTTTTAATTGTCTCTTATGTCACAGAAAAGTTCAAGGAAAAAACTGGAAAGGGTTAGGCTAATTAACACTACATGCCTCATTAAGAACAATCAACGTAAGAAACTATCAGCAAGATATTATGAATACTCTAGCGAGACTCGGCTACAAACGTTATTGAACCGTACCCAGACCAACAAGCGTTGCCCCAACAGAATACTGTATTCCCAAGAAAATCTGCTTCAGCTCACTTTCGAGAATGCCGACGCATCAGGCAACTCCGATTTCTCGCTGAACCAATCATTACTGCTGCTTTTCTTCCAGCCTCTCTGTTCGGCTATTGCTCCTCTTATCCTCGTGTAACTCCACGTGGTCCTCTGAATTCAGCCGTTTCTTAGGACGTGCGTTACGTTCTGCCAGACCTAGCATCTATCTGACGACGTGCTGCGTGCTCCTTATTGGACTGAATCTCCCATCCCGGGCCATCACCAGCACGATCATCCATTGCGTTATAGGTCGAGATCGTCGCCTGCATTCAGCTGCCATTCTGATGTGAAAAGAAGGCCGCTTTGACGATAATACTAGGGAGTCATGGCGGAGAGGGAACAAGACGCGTCGAGTCCTCCCTCTGCCGTGCAGTCGGCAACAGACGTCGCGAATTCCCCGCCGTCAGCCTCCGAGTCTCCCGAGGCGGGCGGCTCGGGATTGGTGCGGCTGGTGCACGTGGAAATCGCAGGCGCGCGGAAGCTTCTGCCAAAAGACGGCGCCTCCTCCAGCCCCTTCTGCGTCGTGCGTGCCCCTTCTGCCGTGGCTGAAATTTCGAGAATTGCATTCAGTATCTTTTGCGTAGTGCGCGTGAGAGGTCGCATGTTCCCTATGGATGCTGAAGCAGTTACCGCACTCTGCGCTACCTTGTTCATGTGGTGTGACGGCACCCCACGACACCGCACGGCGCACGGCATCGCATGGCATTGCATGGAATCGCACGGCATCGCATGGCATGGCATGGCATGGCATGGCATGGCACGGCATGGCATGGCATGGCATGGCATGGCATGGCATGGCATGACAATGCGTGTGGTGGGTGGCAGGTGGAGTTCAACGGTCACACGAAGCGGACTCAAACAGTGGAGAGGGACTTGAACCCCGTGTGGGATGAGAAGGTGCGATAGGGGAGGTGAAAGCCCACACACTGGGAAGCTGGCACCTCTGAATTAATCTCGCAACGAAAAATTGTTATTTTTTCTCAATGCACTCGTTTCAGCAAGTCGCATCTAACTACCATCCACTTGAACTAAGTGACTCATTGCAATCCGCTTTTTTCACCTTATCCTCTCCATATCTTCTCTACCCACTCACTCCCCACCTCTCTCTCCCCTCTCTGCCAGTTCGTGTTTGCAGTCCCCCTCCCTTCACCCCTCACCCCCGCACTGACCGACCATCAAGAGCCGGTCCACGTCACCATCTACACCCTCTCCTCTGCCACGGCCCCGCTCGTTGCGGCGGGCAGCATCTCGGCCAGCCTTCGCCGGCCGGTGCTGGGCTCTGGTCTCACTGGGGGGACGGCAGTCGATCCGGAGAGAAGCGTGTTCCTGGGGAAGGTGCAGGTGAGACGTGGTCGTTTGGGGATGGTGCGGATGAGGGGTGGATGGTGATGGTGCAGATGAAAACTCAGCAGATTAGATCAGTTAGGACGCAGAGGAGGGGGCGTGGGAAGAATGTGGATGGCAGGAACAGGCACTGTGAATCTTGGTGTGTGGGGCGCCTGGTATGTCAAAAGGAGCGGATAAAGGAGGAAGGAGAGGGACGAGAGGTGCGAAAGAGGGGAAGAAGCTTCCTGCGGAAAGGGGGGGAAGAGGTGAGGGGTGTGTTGCAACAGATGTATGAAGTCTAGGGAGGGGCGAGAGGAGAGTGTGCAGGAGAGGGGGGGGGGTGGAGGCAGCGTGTGCAGTGCAGCGTGGAGCAGCTGTGAGCGTCCTCTTTCCCTCGTCCGTCCCCATCCCCAGCGTTTCCTTCGTATCTCTGCCCATGCCCCTCCCCCCATCCCTCTGCCATCCCCTGTCCGCCTCTCCATGCCCCGCTGCCCCTCCAGGTGCCCATCCGCATATATGCCCCCGCGCCCGGCATCCCTCTCCACCCCTCTGCAACCCTCGCCTGGCTGCCTCTTGAGCGCCGCTCCCTTGTCAACCGCGTGCGCGGCGACCTGGGGTGAGATGGGGGTGGAAGGGGAGGAAGGGAGACAGGGGAGGGGGAGGGGAGGAGGGGCGGAGCGAGGGGCTGTGAGGGCTGAAATCATGGGGCGACCTGGGGTGAGATGGGGTGGAAACGGGAGGAAGGGGCGGGTGGGGGGTGCTTGTAGGGGAGGGGGTTGAGGGAGGAGGAGGGAGGCCGAATACACAGCGCGACCTGGGATGAGATGAGGGAGGGGGGAAGGGAAAGTTGGAATGCAATTCGCACCCCATTCTACTTCGCCCTCACATCCTTGCCTGCCCCTCTCCCCACCACCACATCATTCATCTTCCCCCACTCCCCCCCCACTCCCCCCCACGCATGCCCCCCAACCCCCGCATGGCCGTGTCCTACCAGGACGTGCCAGCCTCATCCATCTCCCTCCCCCATCCTCTACCCCCCACATCCCTTGCTCTTTCCCCCGTCCCCCCTTTCCCCCCACTAAACCCCACACCACCGCACCCCCAGCATGGCAGTGTCCTACCAGGACGTGCCAGCCTCGTCCATCGACCCAGACTGCTTGGACGAGTTCGACCAATGCGAGGCCGACAGGTGGCACCTGCCGCCGTCCGCGTCCACGTCATCATCGATGCAGGACGAGGACAGCCTGCCCACCGCCCTGTCCCACCAGCTCTCCCGACACAGCAGCCGCAACGCTGCCTCGCATGCCTCCTCTACGCCCCCCACCTCTCTCCCCCTTCCCGCCGCTCCCTCCGCTCCCCCCACTCTTCCCACGCTCCCCACTCTCCCCACGTTCCCCTCTCTCTACACCTCCTCACCCCTCTGCACCATTGTTTCTTCCGACGAGTCTCCCCTCCCGGCTGTTTCACCCTCCTCCACTGCCCTCTCCCCACTGCCGCCGCCCACCACTGCTCCGCGCAAAGCACTCCCTCATTCCACTGTGCCTGCTGAGAAAGCGGGGGCAGAGGGCGAGGGGCGAGGGGTTAGGGGGGGAGGCGAGAAGGAGGCTGATGAAGGAAAGGGAGATGGGGATGGGGAAGGGGAGGGGGAGGGAGAAGAGGGGGGAGAGAAAGAGGAGGGGGAGGAGGAGGGGCTGTTGGCAATGGAGCCGATTCTGTTTGTGCGCGTGGTGCAGGCGCGCTCACTGCAAGCCCTGGATCTCAATGCCTCCAGTGACCCTGTGAGTGTGCTCCTTGATGCCATCTGATGCGATGCAACCATGATTCTACACTCAATCTTACCCTCCCCTTTCACCTTTGCCGCATGTCAATCCCTTCACCCGTCTGAACCGCCCACCACTCCACCTTCTTCTCACAACCCGATTGTTTTTCGTCCCTCTCTTTCCTGTGTGCATGCTTGTCAGTTCGCCACGGTGACAGTGGGCAATGCGTACTCACCTCTCCCACACCGCTCTCACCATCCCTTCTCCCCTCTTCCCCCTTCTCGCTCCTGTGTACATGTGGGTCAGTTTGCCATGGTGACGGTGGGCAAGGTCACGGCACGCACGCGCACCGTTCCAGATGACGTCAACCCCAAGTGGAACCAGGTCACTTCTCCTTCTCCACTCTATCCCTCCCCTCCTTTTCCACTGCCCCCATTCTTGCACCTCCATGTGCCTCTTCCCACTCCTCACAGCTCTCCCATTCACCCCTAACCCTAACATCTTTCCCTGCTCTGTTCTGCCCCTGCAGGTGTTTGCAATTGGCCAGTCCCCCACGTCCTTCTCCCTCGCCAATCCTTCCTCCACACTCGACATAGTGATCAAGAACGAGGTGTGTGATCAAGAAAGAGGTGTGCATGTGTGTGCGCTCTTGAACAGGCCATGTGTGTGTGCTTAAGAACAGTGTGTGTGTGTGTGCGTGCGTGCGTGCGTGTGTGCGTGCGTGCGTGCGTGCGTGCGTGCGTGCGTGCGTGCGTGCGTGTGTACACGATAGCAAGTACTGCTCCCCCTCCACTCTGTCAATCCTCTCTTGCACCTCGCCCTTTTCAAACCATCACCTTCATTTCCTCGCCGCTCTCTTACACCCTCTCATCCATCTCCTCAACCCCTCTTTCCCCCATTCCCCCCCTCCTCACGCCCGTTCTCCAACCCCCATCAATCAGAACCGCCTAATGAGGGACTCCTTCCTGGGAGCCATCTCGTTGCCAATCGCCTCTCTCCCCCACCGCGTCCCCCCCGCGCCCCCTGTTGACCCGCGCTGGATTCGCCTGGACAACAAAGCTGCTAGTGCCCCTGCCAGCGCCGCTCGCAGCACAGTCAAAGGTAGGACTGTTGATACGAGTGCACGGATGTCAATGGTAGCACTGCAGATGGAAATTTTGAAATTCTTTGCTGCATGTCACAGCACCATGATCATACATACCCATCCCGTCCATACTCCTCCATACCCGTTCCGTCCATGCTCCTCCGTCCTATCCTTCCTTGGGTCAATCCTGTTCCTCCCGCCATGTTCCTCAATCCCCCCATCCCTCATTGCCCCCTACCCTGCAGGCGAGATACAGGTGGCGGCGTGGATAGGAGTGAGGGCGGACGAGCAGTTTGCAGAGGCGTGGCAGTCAGACGTGAAGGGCGTGGCGCACCACCGCTCGCGCACGTACCCCTCTCCACGCCTCTGGTACCTGCGCGTACACCCCTGCAAGCTGGAGCACCTCTCTGTACCGCGCGTTGCTCCCAGCCTTGTGAGTATTACAATCTCCCAAGATTCCCACCCCTTGGCATGCTGCTGGTGCCCCTCTCCACTCCTCTGGTACCTGCGCGTACACCCCTGCAAACTGGAGCACCTCTCTGTAAAGTGTGTTGCACCCAACCTTGTGAGTTCTAAGACGTCTCATAAGCCACGTCTCTGGTATGCCCCCGGAACCCCTATCAACGCTTCTGGTATCCTTCTCCACGCCTCTGATATGCCTCAGCTTATGTCATGCGCTTTCATGCGCTCTCGTAGTGCTCTTATCTCATGCAATGGTTACTTCCCGACTCATGGCGTACGTGGGTCCAATCCCCTACTTTCCCTCATCCATTACCCCTGCCCCTCCCACCAATCAGGTGGTGCGGCTACGAGTGCCTGGCGGCATGCAGGTGCAGACAGGCCCCGCCACCCACCGCACTCCATCTCCGCCCGGTGAAAGCGATGTGGGCGGCGGGGTTAGCAACCGCAAAGAGAGCCGCTGCAGTGATGAGGACGATGAGGACGACGACGGGGAGGAGGGTGGGGAGGAGGGTGAGGAGGAGGATGAGGAGGGGAGGCGGAAGGAGGAGGGGGGAGTGGGTGGACGTGAGGGTAGTGGTGGTGGCGGGAAGGAGAGGAGCAGCCCACCCAAGGGAACAGTGACGGGTGCCATAACAAGCCCAGGCGTGGGCACTGGCACTCCTGCTGTCACGAGTGCAGGGACTGACCTGCTAGACAGCCCACGAACGGGCACAGGCACAAGTGCAGGCACGGGCACAAGCGAAGAGCCAAGTTCAGCTGGCCTGAGGCAGCGGTTTGCGCAGCGGCTGCAGAGCAGGCGGGACAACGTGAGCAACGCTATGGGCCGCATGCGGAGCCTTGGGGGCAGCTTGCGCAGCATAGGGGAAAGCATGCGCATGGCCCCTGTCTTCCCCCTCCGCGGGGCTGCAGCAGATGGCACCAAAACAGGCACAGGACCAGGCACAGGGCTGGACACGGGGCACGGTACAGGGCAGGGGACAGGGGAGAGGATAGGTGCAGTGGGTAGTGCAGGAGGGGAGGAGGGGCAGGGGGAGGGCGTGTGGGTGTGGGGCGAGAGCGATGAGCAGGTGCTGGTGGTGGCGGAACCACTGAATGGATACCTGCACGTGCAGATCGTCAACGTCATTTCGCCCTCCTGGGTGAGTTGCGAGCGGACAGGACAATCGACTCAAAGGTCAAAGCAGCTCAAAGGTCAGAGCAGCTCAAAGGTCAAAGCAGCTCAAAGGTCAGAGCAGCTCAAAGGTTGCTGTAAATGCAACTGCCGATTGTCGTCCCTGTCGTCTCGCCCTCCTGAGTAAGCACAGGTAGCCTAGCCAAGCCTATTTGACCCTTTAGTTTCCATGAACGGCCCTCAACACCCTCCGTACCCCTTTACACCCTTTTCTCCTTGTCCTTGTGGCAGGAGGAGGTGGTGGCATCAGCAAACGTGCTCATCTCCTCCATCCCCACCCGCCTCACCCTTGACCCCCTTGAACCCATCTCAATCGCTCTCCAAACCACCGCCTCTGCCACTCATGCAGCCATCACCGCTGCACACCGCACCCCCTCTGCCGATTCCCTCGAATCCCCCTCAAAACCATCCCCAGCCCCAACTCTCGCCTCCTCCCTCTCCACCTCCTTCCTTTCCCTCACCTCCACCTCCTCCTCCTCCTCCCTCACCCCCCTCCTCTCCCTCCTCCTCGCCCTGGAAGGCGGCCACCACGTCTTCACCCAGCACCCCCGCTTCCTCTCCTCCTCGCTCCCCGCCACCCGCTCCCTCTACCCGCCGCCCATCGCACGCCTCGAGATCGGAATCATATCGGCGAAGAATCTGCAGCGGCCGGTGGCGAGCTCGCTGGGGAGTGCGGGGATGGACGTGTATGTGGTGGTGCGGTATGGCGGCATGTGGGCAAGGACACGCACTGTGTGCGGGGAGACCAGCCCCGTGTGGCGCGAGCAGTTCAACTGGCCTGTCTACGACCTCTGCACTGTCGTCACCATCGGTGTCTTTGAGAACAAGTGAGTGTGTTACTGCATATGTGTCATTACCTCTCTTCTCTTCGCTTCCTATCATCTCTTTGCTTCTGCTCATCCCGTCTCTTCCACTCATTTCTTCTCTTCCTCTTATGAGGCGGGAACAAACACATTCCCACTCAATTTCCCTATCTCACGCATCACCACTCATACTTCTCTCTTCCCCCACCCCCCACCCCCTCCTCGCCCACCACCCACCAGGCACAACAGGGGCGTGACCACATCCACAGACACCCCTCTGGGCCGCATTCACATGCGCCTGAGCGCCATCGACTCCACGCGCGCCCTCTCCTCACACCAGCCCCTGCTCTGCCTGACCAAGAAGGGCGTCAAGCAGCTGGGCCACCTGCACCTCGCACTGCGCCTCTCCCCCTCCGTCTCCCTCTCCCGCCTCGCCTCCACCTACATCCGCCCCACACTCCCCCCCGCGCACTACCACTTCCCCATCCCGGAACCCCAAGAACCTGTTCTCTTACAGGAGGCCACGGGCCTGCTGTGCAAGCAGCTGGGAGCATTCGACCCGCCGCTGCGAGCCGAGGTGGTGCAGTACATGGGGGAGTGCGATGAAGACGTGCTGTCCGTGCGGCGACTTAAAGCCAACCTGCAGCGCATCAAGATGCTGCGGGCGCGCTTCTCTGCCATGGCTGCCGGGTTCAACGCCGTGCGGTCGTGGGAGAGCCTCCCTCTCACGCTCGCCGTGCACGCGGCGTATGCTTTCGCGCTGTTCTACCCGTCCTTCATCCTCCCCACGCTCTTCTTTCTTCTCGCGTGGCAACTGCTCGCCTCCTCCCCCACTCGCCCGCTCGGTCCCCCTCTGATGGATCTGAAGCTTTCGCAGGGGGAGGCTAGCGAGGAGGGGGCGGAGAAGGGAGGGGAGGAGGGGGATGACGGGGATGAGGAGGATGAAGAGCAGGAGAAAGGTGGTTCCGGTCCGGTGGCGTACTATAAGGTATGAGGGAGGGCATGGGAGGATGTGGTCGTGATGTACTCTTTTATCTTATTTGCACCGCCATCATAGTTCAACGCATTGCGACATTCCGTTTCTCTCTCACCCTCTCTTCCCTCTTTCCCCTTCCTCCTCCCTCGCTCTGCACTGCGCTGCTCTGCTCCGCCCTGCTCTGCTCCTCCCTGCTCTGCTCTGCTATGTGCTGCGCTGCCGTGCAGGCCCTGAGGGCCAAGTACGACAAGCTGATGGACGGTGCAGGGAGGGTGCAACGGGGCCTTGGCGTCATTGCTGACGCAGCAGAGAAGATAGAGATGCTGCTCACGTGGCGAGACCCAAGGTGAGGCCTACCCGTCACCCCTCACACCATGACCCACAATCTTCGCACTCCTCCCTTACCGTTTCTTGCCATTCCTGGATGCCGCACCTCCCCGCTGTCCCTAGATGCCATCACACCACTGTTCTACACTTCCTTTCTTCTCCCCTTACCCATCCCCTCCACCCGTACCCCACCTCACATCCTCTCCATTCCCACCCCCTCAGAGCCACGTTCCTGCTCCTCTCAGTGTGCACGGCGCTCATGGCTCTGCTGCTGCTGCTGCCCTTCCGACCCGTGGCGCTAGCAGCGGGCTTCTGGGCAATGAGGCACCCGCGCCTGCGCCGCATCACTCCCACCAAGGTCAAATGCTTCCTCGCTCGCCTGCCCACGCGCGCCGACACCATCTACTGACAACTTTCGAGGCATCTCCAAAGTTGGGCTTGTGGGCGGTCAGGCACCCACACCCGCGCCTGCGCCGCATCTCGCCCACCAAGGTCAAATGCTTCCTCGCCCGCTTGCCCACGCACGCCGACACCATCTACTGAGTGTGCGTGCCGCTACAACTGCTCCAGCTGTTGCTGTGTGAAGGGAGATGGTGTGCCACAGTGCAATGCGAGTGGTGATCATGTTCCTTGGTTAAGGGAGCCATGAGCTGCAATGTGTTTCAATGTGGAGCATGCACTGAGAGGAGCTCACCACATGTGCCAAGCCTGCAACTTTCAAGCTGAAGTGCCATACCTTCTGCTACAACACTAATTGTCTTATTGCATGAGAGCATATGTACATGTACAGTATACAGGTATGTATTATTTCATCTGCCTCGAGACCAACTGCTGAGAAGCTTCACAGCATCCCTTTCCATCTCAACCCCTCTTTACTCAGCCACCAATCCTAGCCTCGCGGACGCTGCCTGTCCCTGCCTGCCCCACATGCACGTCACCACGCACACCACCACCCACACCGCCAGTCACACCAGCAGCACCCTTGCCCGTCCGCACCTGCCCCTGCAGCGGGCACTCCTTGAGCACCGTCTCATACCCCATCCCCCTTTTAAACTGCTCCGCTAAGCGGTCCACAGCGACGTCAGGGCCCTTAAGGTCTGCTCGCAGCCGCCTCCTTTCCTCCAGCTGCACCCTGTACCGCTGCTCCACCGCTGCAGGCAGGGGTAGGGGGGACGGAAGGAAAGGGAGACATGATGAGGGAGAGAGGAGATATGGAATTCAGGAAGAGTGCAAGAGTGGAATGAGGTCATGTTGGAACCTTGAGAGCAGTGCCAATAACAATCACGAGATAGCATGGGGAACAAACTAGCAGCAGCCCACCTTTAGGCAGTTCCGGTTTAAGCTGCCCATCGGCAAAGAATGCCCCCATGAGCTGCGGCACCCCCAGCGGCAGCGCATCACCCCTGTCAAACTGCCAGAAGTGCCACGTCTTGCCGAACGTCTTCACAAGCTTGCTCATCACAGGCAGCTCTGCCAGTGCCGGCATGCCCGGCATGATCAGTAGCCCGCTCTTGACCTCGTACTCGTGTGAGTGCCACATGCGCTGCTCGTCCTCGGGCAGCGAGAGGAAGATCTTTTCAGAAACGATGAATTCGACGCCGATGAGGCGAGCGCAGGGCTGGTCGGAGTCGTATACGAGGCACTGATGGACGTCCTCCGAGACATGCGAGCAGTAGTGGTGCGCCTCGACTTGTCGCGACATGTCGTTGGCGTAATAGTGGAACCTGGTGGGGGGCGTGGTAGGGAACAAGGAATGACAGTACACGAGTAATGCTGTTTCTCAAAATTATTTGAAGGGACGCACGCCACAGCAATGCAATGATGGACTGACGGCATCCAAACGGCTTTGCGGGGGCTTGGCGGAGCAATCCAAAATACAACCCAAACAAGCGTACGGGTGGAGGAAGAAAAGATAGCTTAGAATGGTTCAGCTTCCTCTACTAGAGTAAGGACTGACGCGCAGAGGTGTTGGCCGATCTGGCGGATGGGGCGGAACTGTTGCACGGCGCTCGCACCCGTCTCCATCACGCTCGTTGTCAAGCTCTTTGCCTCGCCTGGCACGTCCGAAAACTCTGAGGCCGCCGCCCCACCCGTCGATAAGGGCTTGTGCGCCGCCATGACGCCGCAATGCGCTCGCGGATAGTACGGCGCGGAAATTGGTGCAGATAGGCGTTGACGGACAGGAAAACACAGCGTAGCCTGCTTGCGAAGGAAGCTGATCACTATAAACTGCAGGTCGAGAACCTGATTGGGAGGGAGATCGGGAGATGGTTCACGGCTTGCCCCGAAAGAGCTGCTCCAACAGTGTGCGCGCGGAAGCGCCCGCAGTAGGGCGTGCATGCAGGTGAGTGTGATGTTCGATGTGCACGTGGTGGGTAGTGGGAATAGTTGGAGGGGGGAATGTGGTGTGGATTGCGAGCACATAGGGACGAGGAGATGAAATTACGAGGGGACGGGCGGAAATGTCCGTTTGCAATTTCACGACACATGTGAATTGGCAAGCCGCGATTCGCGATGCGTGTGATCTTGATCGACGAGTTGGTGTCAAGGTTCAACGAATACGTGCTTACAACGAGGAAGCATACACTACATATACAATCAATACAATATGAGCCAGTTACACAATACCATCACGGTGAAGCAATGCTATCTGCGACCACCAGATTCTTCTACCAGCATACAGTCCGATTCTGAAGCTGCCTCAAACGTAACTCCAGATTGCTGCTCCTCACAACTTGCTTTCGCTCCAACTCCAGACGTCGTCCCAGACACCAGGACATTGTGTGCCAAGAGCCCATCGCTTGACAATGAGCCAACCATAACAGGAGGCGACTGCCCCTCACATGCTGAAATCATCGCATCACCTGCACCTGCTCGCACCAACCCCTCTGACCCCCTCGGACACTCCACCGGGACCACCTTGCTGCCACCCTTCTCCCTCTGCCCCTTCCCCAGCAGCAACCCATTCTCATTGTCACCCACACCATCCCCATCACCCCCATCCCGCGCATCATCCCCACCGTCCTCCTTCCCAAGCGCTCCCTTACTCGCCAGCCCATCATACCCCTCCTTGTCCTCACTGCCCTCGTCCTCATCGTCCATGAGAGCCACCTCTGGCAGGCCCGGGTCCTGGGTGAACTTGAGCACGCCGTGGTGCTTGGCCCACATGAGCAGCGGGTACAGCACCACTCCCACCACCGCTGCTATGGAGCTGCCAGGGGAAGGAGTGAGGGATGCAAGGTGCATGGAGAACTGGTCAGGACGAGGGATTGGGGCTTTCAGACGGAGATAGAGTGGAGGCTGGAGAAGAGACAGAGGTTCTGTAGGGGAAGGGAGAAGTGGGCAGCTGGCAATGGTGCACACCTCTGAATGGGCACACTGCACACCCCCCACGCCCCACCCCCCACGCCCCACGCCCCACCCCCCACCCCACGCCCCACCCCCCACGCCCCACGCCCCACGCCCCACGCCCCACGCCCCACGCCCCACGCCCCACGCCCCACGCCCCACGCCCCACGCCCCACGCCCCACGCCCCACGCCCCACGCCCCACGCCCCACGCCCCACGCCCCACGCCCCACGCCCCACGCCCCACGCCCCACGCCCCACCCCCCCCCCCACGCCCCACGCCCCACGCCCCACGCCCCACGCCCCACGCCCCACGCCCCACGCCCCACGCCCCACGCCCCACGCCCCACGCCCCACCCACCACCCCCACGCCCCACGCCCCACGCCCCACGCCCCACGCCCCACGCCCCACGCCCCACGCCCCACGCCCCACGCCCCACGCCCCACGCCCCACGCCCCACGCCCCACCCCCCACCCCCACGCCCCACGCCCCACGCCCCACCCCCCCCACGCCCCACCCCCCACCCCCCCACGCCCCACGCCCCACGCCCCACGCCCCACGCCCCACGCCCCACGCCCCACGCCCCACCCCCCACCCACCCCACGCCCCACTCCCCACGCCCCACCCCCCACGCCCCACGCCCCACGCCCCACGCCCCACCCCCCACGCCCCACGCCCCACTCCCCACGCCCCACCCCCCACGCCCCACGCCCCACGCCCCACGCCCCACGCCCCACGCCCCACGCCCCACGCCCCACCCCCACCCCCCACGCCCCACGCCCCACGCCCCACGCCCCACCCCCCACCCCACGCCCCACCCCCACGCCCCACCCCACCCCCACCCCCACCCCCCACCCCCCACGCCCCACGCCCCACGCCCCACGCCCCACGCCCCACGCCCCACGCCCCACGCCCCACATCCACAACGCAAGCCTCACCTGACAATGACGGTCTGCCAGGAGGCGAGGGCCATGACGAGGACGAGCAGCAGCGAGGCACATGAGTGCTGCTCCCATGCGTGCTATGAGTTGACTCACAACACACCTCACACCTCCCACCACACCGCAAGCCTCACCTGACAATGACGGTCTGCCAGGAGGCAAGGGCCATGACAAGGATGAGAAGTACAGAGGGCGGCAGGCATATGAGTGCTGCTCCCCTGCGTGTTCTACCCCACCCTCACCTGACGATGACGGTCTGCCAGGAGGCGAGGGCCATGACTAGGACGAGCAGCAGCGAGGGCAGCGCTGCTCCCATGCGTGCTCTGAGATGACTCACAACACACCTCACACCCCACGCCCCACAACGCAAGCCTCACCTGACAATGACGGTCTGCCAGGAGGCGAGGGCCATGACAAGGATGAGCAGCAGCGAGGGGGGCAGACACAGCAGCGCTGCTCCCATTGTGTCCACGGGGACCCTGTGGGGAGGGAGGTGGTGCATAAGAGAGACAAGCAGTGAGTGAGTGACGAAGCGGCCATTTGTGGTCATGCAAGAGCGGGCATGGAGGGACAGTGTGCAGGGGAACGTGGAATACACGAATTGCAGCGAAACCAAATCCATACCACATCTAGATAACCTGCGGAAGGGGGGATTGTTATGAAATTAAGCCTGATTGGAGCAATGTGGGTAACAGTGCACGACCTGTACGGGCGGTTCAGGTCGGGCTGGGTAACACGAAGCACCACAAAGGCTGCGAATTCGAGCAGCATGCCGAAGCAGTAGAGGAAGTTGAGGAACTCGACGATCTCCTGGAAGCTCATCCACGACAGCAGCAGGATGCCCGTGGCGCTGCACACGATGCCCAGCACGGGTGTGCCGTGGCGCGAGCGGTACGTGAAGACCTCCGGCAGCATGCCCCTCTCCGCCATCCCCAACAGCTGAAACGCGTCACTGCGTGGGCGCACAGAGGGAGGGGGGGTGGGCGGAAGGGGGGGAAATTGGGGTCTGGTGCTGCAGTGACATGCGACGGAAGGAGCTCGGCTGATGAGATGGGGAGGTGGGCGATAGGAATGATACCTGCGCCATGAGAGAGAGTGGAGAATGCTTTCAGGTTCCAAAGACGCAAGCACACCCAGCAGCACCCAACACACACACCTGCTCATCTCTGCCTCGAACGCGCCCATGTTCGAAAGCGCAGCGGCACATGCGATCCACCAGGCGAGCCAGCCGCCTCCAATGGCGCGACCCACCACGGCCAGGTACCCATCGTCCCAGCCGTCCGGGGAGAAGGGCATGGCGCCCGTGCCTGCGAGCAGTGGCACCAAGTATGACACCACCACCAGCACCACCGCTCCCATGAGCGCGCGCGGGAAGGTGCGCTTCGGCTCCTCTATCTCGCCTGCTAGCGTGCTGCACAGGGAAGGAGGGGCGGAGATGGGGGGTGGGTGGGCTTGGTGGGGGCTTTGTGTGGTGATTCCAAGCAGAATGGCACACATTCAGCAGGATAGGATGGAGCGGACGCAGAAAGGAGGGTGGATGGTGAGGGAGATTAAAATGAGCAAGGGAGACAGCCGTGGATGAAACGGAGGCGAGAGAGTTTCCACCTGACGGAGTGCCCACTGACAGAGTTCCAGTAGTTGAGAGAAGCCTATTGGACGGAGCACCCACAAATGGAGCACCCACCTGACGGAGTCCCAATAGTTGAGGTTCCAGAAGAGTGTGTTAAAGTACCCCCGCCAGTGCACACGGTTCAGATCCACCACCAGCCTGCCACCCATGCACGCACACCCCATCCATACCCCGCCCACACCCCGCAATTACAGAGATGGGAATGAGACGCCTTTGAGGCATCGTTTGCCTTCTAACGATTCTAACAAGGCAGTTTCCTCGCCACAAATATAGGCACCTGCACGCAGTTAGAATCCACCACCAGCCTGCCATGCCACCCATGCATGCCACACTCATACGGCCCCGCCAGCACCCCGCAAACAGGGAGCCGCAAGTTAAGCGCAGGGCTAGAAAGTGTTTCCGGAACCTGCTGGTGCAAAGGAGCATTTTAAGGAGGAGCAGAGCGTGAGGATTCGTGTGATCACCCTCACAAGCCCTCGTATGCTCTTGACCCCTTCCCTTCCCTCTCCTCCCCTCCCCTGCTCACCGCGGCCATTCCGTACCCTTCCCTCTCACCCGCCTTTTCCTGCCCTTTCTTTTCCTTTCCCCTTCCATTCAACCCTGCTACTCAGCAACCAAGCCTCCCCCAATGTACGGACCAGCGGGCGGGTTGGATCTTGGGAATGGCGAGCAGCGCCATGACCACAAAGGGCAGCAGCCCGAACACTGCGAGCGCGATGGCAGTCACGCCCACTATCGTGAGCCCGCGGTAGTTCACGTATGTCAGCAGCTGGTGGGAGGGAGAGAGGGGGGAAGCAGTCCCAGGAGAAAGGCTTGGGAGGAATTTGGGTCTCCGAACAGCTCAGAGCTCGCCGCACACTATACTATGGTGAGCCTGCGGTAGTTCACGTATATGAGCAGCTGGCGGGGGGGAGGGGCGACAGACCCAGAGAGGAAGGATTGAGGAAAGCTCGAGTTTCAGAATGCTTCAAGCCTCGCCCGGTGCTTCACATAGTGAACGGCTGAAGTGGGGGAGGGGTCAGGGGAGAAAAATTTTGGGCAGTCGCCTGCTAGGCTGGCCTCAATAAAACGGAGTGGTGACAGTGATAACAACAGATTGATGAACAAGCAAAGGGAAAAAGGTTGAGTGGAGGCAGCACAGGATCAAAGAGGAACGCACCAGAGTCATTGCGAGCAGTGCCGCCATGCGTGGCAAGCCGCCATCAAAGACAGGGAGCTCGCGCTTCAGGTAGTCGAGGAAGAGCAGCGGGTAGAGCGAGTTGTCTATCACGCCGCTCAGCCACTTCCACCACCCCTCCTGGAAACCCCAGAAGGGCCCAAACGCCGCTGACACCCACACCACGTAGCCCCCGTTCTCCGGGAAGGCTGTTCCTAGCTCCGCTGTGGTCAGGGCCTCTGGCACGCTCCAAATCTGCACGGGGTGACAGGGGGACGGGGGAGGCGGAACGGGGAAGGGGGGTGGCGGTGCGGGAAAGGGGGAGGAGGCGTGGCGGGGGGAAGGTCGGAAGAGGGGAGGACGGGGGAATGGGATGAATTCTGGGTAGTGAAACGGTGATGGGAGGAAGGAAAGCGAACAGCAAGTGGTGTAGGAAGATGGGGTGATGCAAGTGAGTGGAGGTGGTATCGCGTGGCTGACATGGAACACTGGGGACGGGAGCAGGAGCGAGGGGAGAACACAAATAGATGTGTTGCGAGGAGGATGGTGCGAGGTGCGCGCGTGGTGTGAGAAGATGAGGGATGAAAGCTGCAGAAAATGTGGGGATGCAGATCGGAGGGTGCGGAGGCGAGAGGCAGCGCGCACGAGGGGGAAGACGGTGAAGCCAAGGATGGCGAGCAGCGGCCCGCCGTACTTCACGGCGTCCTCCACGCCGTACGGCCCGCCGGAAACCTTCACGCACGAACGGAAACGAGAGGAAGGGAGAATAATATCAGGAAAAAGGGAGAAGAGGCCAAAAATGCCCACGGCGAAAAAAAGAAGAGCATTCGTCTTCGCCTGGACACGATTGAAACGCAAACCTAACCTAACCTCTCGTCCCCTCATATAAAGAATCGAGCCTAGCCATGGCCTATGCTGACCTCGAAGAAGATAAGCGCGATGAGCGGCAGGAGCGTCAGCTTCTGGCCGTGCGGCCCGTGGCTCTTCTCGAACTGCTCGTGCGCCGCGTCCTGCCGCACACACGGACGCGCAATAACGATAATCGTCTCAGTAGCCTAGTCTTATACCGAGAACTGCAGGTATTGAGATATTAGGTCGTCGAAAGGGAAGATGGCCTGTGGTGAGCGACTGTGCGGTCGGGTTGCGGGACAAGGTCGAGTACCTCATGCGAAAGCGGAGCTCCCTGCGTGAGTCGCTCCTTTTCCCCGGATACCTGCGACCCCATCGCTGGTTGCGCGCGGCACCGCGACGCCTGGCAGTGGAATAACAGAATTAGGATCGCCGAGCAACGGTCACCGCGGCCTCAGCCCATGCTTGAATTCGAATTTACCTTCCCCTTGCTGGAAACAGCGTCGCTAGAGCATGGGCCAATCAGTGGCGAGGCTAACGACTCTACCATAGGAGAGCGGCTTCTTGCGCGCTGCCGCACGAGCGGCGGAGATTCAGCGGTTATTACTGACACTAGGACGGGACGCGGAGTCTCAGGGGACGAGGAGGCAGGGAACTGGTGCATCCGTGAAAGCTAGAGCTCCACACTTCCGCTGGTTTGGCTGTGTGTGTGGGACTGGAGGAATAATCCAATCCCAAGGAGAACGCTTCGTCTGAACTTGTTTCCTGTTCGCGTTGTCAGGCCGCCATGGAGGGTCAGGTAGGTCGGGCAGAATCGAGGAAGTGAATCACGAGCGCCTGAAAAGTGTCGAGTGCATCCTGTCCGTCCGATGTAGAAGCCGGCGAATCCTGAGGAGTGCGCGGGGTTGGGGGCGCCGGGGACACACCGCGGAGAGCTTGCCGGGCTGTGCGATGATACCGATGAGCGCCGTGAAAGTACGGCTGTACTGGCTTTTGGGACACGTGGTAAGTTTTGATTGCATGAATTTCACATGGGACCTCCAGCTCCGTGGTTTTCCGTTTGGAGCCAACTCAATTACATACTTTCACAAAGGCTGCGCAAAGCTGAGTCCTAAGAACATGCATTATCCTTCAACCTTTCCCAAGCTTCTTTCGTGCCTCCTTGACAATCTCTGCACACTCTGCGTATGCGCCTTCCAGATCCTTCACCAATTTTTGACGACCCCGCCTTTGCGTCTCAACCATTCTCTCCACTTCACCCTTCAGCCGTTGCTCCAATTCTTCCTCTGACACCACTCCAGTCGTATGAATTGCAGAAACCCTTACAAACTCTTCCAGGTGGCGAACGGCAGCCATTCCAGACGCCATCACATCCACCAACCCGTTAGCAGCAGCTCTCCTCATTTCAAACGTTTCTTTTCGTGTGAACAGTTTCTTCCCAAGTCCACCAGTATGATTTCCTCGCAACTCTGTTTGCTGATGTGCTGCTTCAGAACCATCTGCACGGCGCCGCTTTTTGGAAAGATTCCCTGCCAGGGAAACACGAATATGTGCATGGAGAGGCGCGCCAGGAGGAGCATGCAGTTGATGGGTGGGATTGGAAAGGTGGCCTGAGTGGGTGTGACTGCAGGGGGGGACTGAGTGGGTGTGACTGCAGGGAGAGACTGAGTGTGTGTGACCGCAGGGAGAGAAAGGGTGGGTGTGACTGCAGGGAGAGAAAGGGTGGGTGTGACTGCAGGGGGGGATTGATATGTATACACAAAAAAGATTCAGCAGGAAATGCGCTTGTAAGAGCAGCACGAATGGCAGTCACGTTTTTCAATATGCAGCGGGAGAATGACATAACAGGCGGGGCAAATGGAGCATGGCTGCATGGCTGGCTGGGGACGGGCAGAAACGGGGAGGGGGGAGCATCAGACGAGGTAGAGTGCCCTAGGGAACATGGGAAGGAGCACGTACCAGAAACGTGAGTGGGAGTACGGGGAGTGATGCTGGGATTCCTTGGAGCAGGGATGGTAGTGGGGGTTGAGGACGGTGCTGCAGGGTCATCATTCTCCTCCTCCTCCTCCTCCTCCTCCTCCTCCTCTTCCTCTTCCTCGTCTTCCTCCTCATCCTCACCCTCATCTTCTGCTGCCTCTTCTTCCTCCCGCTCCTCTTCCTCCCCCTCTTCCTCCACCTCCTCTTCCTCCGCCTCCTCTTCCTCCGTCCCCTCCTCACTCCCCTCCTCACTCCCCTCCTCACTGCACTCCTCATACGCATCACTCCTTCTCCTAACCTCCCAAACATCGTCCTCCTCATCGTCTTCCTCGTCCTCCTCTTCTTCCTCTTCCTCTTCCTCTTCTTCCTCCAATTCATCTCCCTCATCTGATTCGTCCGTACTCATCCCTTCAACTTTAACTACTTCCTCGTCGTCCTCCTCTCCCTCCTCTTCCTCATCCACTTCCTCATCCTCTTCCTCCTCTCCCTCATCTTTGCCCTCCTCTTCCTCCTCGTCATCACTATCATCAGTATCAGAAGACCCGCTAACATATTCCCCACTACTCCAAGCCGCCTCGTCCCCTTCCTCACTCCACTCCCATTCCTCCTCTTGCCTCCTCATCCCCCTCCGTCCCCTTCCTCTCTCCACTCCCCTGCCCCTCTCCAGTTCCCTGCCCCTCTCCACTCCCCTCCCTCTCTCCACTCTCCTGCCCCTCTCCACTCCCCTTCCTCTCTCCACTCCCCTGCTCCTCTCCACTCCCCCCCCCACACTCAACCCCCTACCATTCCCTTCATCCCCTTCCCCTCTCCGCCTCTTGCCCGCCCCTCGCATCACCCGCCACTGATCCTTCCCCTGCCCCTTCCCCCCCGCGCCCTCCGCCTGCGCCACCTGCTGCGCCTGCAGCGCCTTCTGCTCCCGCCATCTCTTCTTCATCCACGCACTCCGCGCGCGCCTCAGCGCATCGGAGCAAGGCCGCCGCGCCACTAGGCTCGGCCACTCCCCCGCCTGTTTCCTGCGCCTCTTCGCCCTCCTCCTCCGCCCAACCGCCTCCTCCGCTCCTGAGATCCCTCGCTTCCACCTTCCGCCCACGGCTTTTCCCCCAAACGCATCTCTCCCCCCCAGCGTTTCCGTTCCCCCCGCCGCTTTTCTCCCCCCCGCTACCTCTCTACCCACCCCCCTCTCTCTTCCCCCCGAACCTACGTCTCCAGCGCGCATTGATCCCCTCCCTTTTCTCCCTCCCCTTCCCAATTTTCTCTCATCCTGATCCCGCTGCCGACCTACCGAAACTTTCCCGTGCTCTCTCGCGTGCGGCGGCATTTGCGCACCTACTACCAATACTCTTCCCCGTGCTCCCCTCTCCCCCCTTACCTACTACAACCCGCGTCACCAGCCCGTCTGCCCCGCCTTCCCTCCCGCGCTGCCTCCGCTCACCTCTCGCTTAAGCACACCCTTGAGCGGAACTGGCTCTCGCTACCTTCCGCTACGCCCCGCGCCGGGAACCGCGAAAGGGACAAACACCGCGTGGCTCAGATATCGCTACTCGCGCGCAGCGCGTTCGCGTCGCTAAACTATACGCCGTTGCGAAGAGGACCGCTGAATTGCTTCAAACCAGTGTGCGCCGAAGAGCGCGCTGAGTCGAATGTGCGAATCCGGTAATCGCGGTCCTAGGTGGCTGCTGAAGAGTGGCAATCGCGGTAATCGATGACGCAAAGTCGACTCGCCAACACACTGCAGCCACAATATATTGCTATGCACCCTTTTAATAGGCGTCCAAACCCATCGTAAGAGCGATATCAAGGGTGATCGAACCTGATCGCAGTCATTGTACAAGCTGAGCCAGCTTGGGACCTCTCAGCAGAAGGATGTCTTTCGCGTGTGCGCAACTGCTACCGGGGACACGCGCTGCTACTGAATCACGTGGAACAGACGGAGAATGGCGCAGAGTTGTGCTCTCACGCAAGAATCTGAAAGCATTGTCAGCACTGCTTTCACAAATGATTTTCCAGTCATGAGTCTGGCACTGCAGAGGAGCAAGACACAATCCACTCCATGAACAAGCAAACCTGTCACCTAGTGAGTTTGTATGAGCTGCAAATGGCTGCAACTTGAAACGTATTTTCAGATGGGCAAATCAAGATATTATCAATCATTGGAATAACCATAGCTCATTTACAGGTCGCGTATATCAGCTTCTAAGGGTACATTCCGCTGTGGACATGCGTCCCAATCGATTCTACCGCACTGAATCTTATTACACCGAATTACACCCTAGTTTCAAAATTTTCGCTTCTCTGGTTTAGTGCGGTTCGGAGCGGTACACCCGATTGGGACACATCGATTGGGACGCATGTCCACAGCGGAATGTACACTAAGTCAAGCACAAAACTAGAAAAGGGGGAAATAAAAACCACACATGCCGTCAAGGTTCACTAACTTCCCCCTTCAGGCTTATCGGCACCAAATCCACAACACACACAGAAACACAGTGGCCCCACCCAACCAGGTCACATCATATCCGGGAAGGTTTTTCCCCGGTTAATATTCGAGCGACCTTGCGCCACCATGGCAGCACGCGCCTGCATCAACCCCGCCGGGTGCAGCGCTTGATCCATTCCTCCCCACCCCGACATGTCACAGAACCGGTTGTCGAATTGCGCCGACGGCCCTTCCGTAGCAGCCGTGCGACCGCATCCACCGGCATAATAATGGGCATTCCTTCTAGCGATATCGCCTTGCCCGGGAACCACTTGCGTATCCTCCATCTCGTAATCAAACGGGTTGCTCCGCGGCTCCTGCTGCCCTAACTTGCTCTGCTGATGCCGTCTCGACGACCGGGACTGAACCGCTCCGCCGGGCCCGCTGCTCACTTCATCCTCGCTATCAGAACTTCGTTGTTGGCTATAAGCCGCATCTGGCTGAGCCTGAACGCTGCTCTCACCCGCAACACCAAACGGACCGTTAGCACGTGGCAGCGAAGCGCTGGAACGACGCGCGGAGCGGACGCAATCCAGCGAGCTTCGTCGGAGTGACGGGTCGTCGTGCGGCGCGTACATGGCTGCATAGTCATTGCCGGACGGGCCACCTTGTTCCTCCTTAACCGTAGACTGTCGCCCCGAGTTTCGCCAGTGAGACGGCCGTTCAAGCTCCTCCAATTGAACGGACTTCCGTCGCGGCATGGCAGTTGGTGACGGGATGTCTTCTTCCATCGGAGCGGGAGCCTCAGGCTCCTGTGGCGAAGCAAACGTTGCCATCGCCTTCTGCAGCTCTAGCCGCTGCCGTTGTGAGCGGTCTTTAGCGAGGAACCGGAACATGATTGCTACCTGTTGCTAAACGGGATAAGGGGAGAATGGATTGGATTAAGCTATCTCAACCCCCGTCTCAAGGCCTGCGAAAAACAAATTTCGAGTACCGCAGATAAACTGATATAAGGCTGCTGAAGAACACGACTGGGACGTCGACTGAGCTGGTGATGAGACCAAGGGGATTCTAGCACCTAAATAGGTGAAGAAACTAAACCAGTGAAAGTGGGGTTTACTGATTTGGCCACAGACAAGCAGCCAAGGGAGAAGAGGGAGTCACTCAGTCACAGCCACAGAGGTAAAACAGGCAAGGGCAATGCCACAGATGTCCACCAGAGGCACAGGTAGCTGGCGTTGGCAGGATGAGGTGGCCGAAGGTGGCCAAAGGGGTTCGGGAGGGAATCGGGATTCGGATCGGGAAATTCGGTGAGGGGTTGGCTCATTGCTTGCTGGGTTTGTCATTGCGGAGGAGAGATCAAGGGTTTCGTTCTGTTCCACGCAGACATGCCACTTGCGCAGAATGTCTGCTCTGGTGATGCGATTTCGTGACGGTGTAGCACGTGATAGGGAATGTGATTGGAAGTCAGCGAATCCCCTCAGCAAATCGCCACTCATCAGCGGTGAGCTGGCGAGCAATTGTAATGAACGGCTAGGATTCTTTGACGGAACATCGACGCTATGTATTGCGGGGTTTGTGTTGAGATGCTTTGTAGGGACGACCGTGGTTCTGCCATCCAAACTATTCGCTGCCCGTTCCCAGCTAGGCTATTGGATACTGATTTCTTTAGACCTGGCGAAAAAAATGCTGCAGCCGTGGCTTCACCGTGAGCACCCACACCAACATCTGCAAGGTAGGAACAGATATCTGCCAATTCGCAGAGGTTCTTACAAATCAAAATAGTGGGATACGCACTAGCAATAAACACGGTCAGGAGTGAAAGCAAGCTGGCAGAAATAGTCAAAAATACCCATTATAGGACAATGGGAGCTTTATCTAAAATGACTTTAGCACAGTTACGACTGTTATTGATTATGTATGCTTGCTCTATCGGTGTACATATCAATTACCTTTAAAAAAATGACTTTAGCTGCTCCAGAATGTTATCAGATATGAATTACTGCAATAAAATTCATATTGTTGGATTTATATGAGATTCTGCCTCATCTAAAAATAAGGCTGTAAAATTTGTACCTTTGCATCTGGTACGCATTAAAAAAATGTGTGTTACCACCGTGAGGATCATGATTAATGGCATGCTCATAATCAGCTAGATCGGTGTGGTTTATAAAGCCATAGAATAAAGTTCACGTTCATTCCATGAAATGCAGGTATTTTACGAGGTTCCAGAGTTTTAAAGGCTAACAACAAGAACTTTTTTACTGTATTGTATGCTTTCTTTGGATAAGAATTAGAGCTGCTTGAAATATGCAGTTCTTTCAGGTCAACAGGAGTCATTGAACCCTCGTTGTTGCGTGTTTGTGTGAATCAGGTCGTCATCAGCAGCTCCCTGCTGTCACAAAAGCATCAGCGGCAGCTCCCAACCAATAGAAACGCGAGGGAGATCCACGTCGCTTCCAGCTGGGCGAAATTCATTCCCCCAGCCTTGGAGAATCACCACCACCCCACCCTTCCCCCCATCGTGCCCACCAACCAGGCTGCTCTCCATGATCGATCTCACCACGTCCACCGCACCCCACCCCGCCATTATTTCCGCAATTACACCCACCTGTACTCTCTCCTTCCCACACCTCCCCTTCCCTTCCCCTCTTCCCGCACCTCAACAACTTCCCTTCATTATAAAACTACGGCTAGTCCCATGCTACTGTCACTCGCATTAGTTCATAACACGCACGGCAGCCCCACATACTCAACTCCACCTCGTGGTTTTTTTAGGTCACTTAATTGCTAAAGCTACAACAACCCTCGTTGGTGCCCGCATTGTCAGTTCTTTGGGAGACAGACCAGAAAAATGAGTGAGAACGTTCCATTAACGAGTACGACTTCCGAGACCGAAGGCTCGTACGCCCCTCCCCTTCTCTTCCAACACGCGCAGCCCGCGGAACCAGCGGAAAACGTTTCCGCGCACGCAGAGCAATGGGAAAGTGATGACGGCGACGTGAAGGTCACCGTTACTGAGCATCTCGTGTCGCACGCCGTCGATTTCCCTTCGTTGAAGGCCGAGCCGCAGGAAGAGCAGGCTGAAGCTCACAAAGCCGCGGCACGATTTCCTCAGAAGAGCTTCGACCATCCGACGGCTGGCGGCTGGAACGATTTCGACAAATCCTCTGCCATTTTTAATTTCAGCGACCGCCCCGTGCGCGACGCGGGATGGCGGTTCGTCTTCGCCGCGCCGCTAGTCTTCCTACTCGTTGCGGCCCTCCGCGCCCTCGTCTATGCGCCCTTCGACCCCTCAAGCTTCATCCTAATTTCTCCCTCCCTCTATCCGGTTGCGTTGATTCTCCTCTTCGCCGTCAGCCTTCCCCTCCCCATGTTGATCGTCTCGTCTCTCCGCAAAATCCCCGCTCGCGTCTTGAGCGCGCTGATAGTCCTCGCCGCTGTGATTTGCGCTCTGCAAAGCGCCACATCCGCCGTGCATTACTACACGACGCCCGCGCTCGTGCCGCCAAATGCGGCGGACGTAGCCCCAGTGGAATACGCGCCAGTCCGCGATCCATCGGCGAGTGACTTTTCCGTGAACACGGACTTTGCGGAAAGCGCGGATGGGGAGAGCGGAAAGACGAACGAGCAAATGGCGGAAGAAGAAGAAGCCATGGTAGAAGCGGCGATTGAAGCCTCAGAAAGGGGAACGGAAGGGGGTACGGAAGGGGGAATGGAAGGGGGAACGGAGGGGGGAATGGAAGGGGGAACGGAGGGCGCCATGGGGGATTACATGGAGGGGCAGGAGGTCCCATCTGAAGCGGCGGTGAGCATCGCTGATGACGCGGCAGCGGAGATGGCAGCAGCAGCAGCGGTAGCGGAGACTGAGAGCAGCAGCAGCGCACCTACCAGCAGCAGCAGCGCGCCTAGCGGCAGCAGCAGCCCTACGGCCACCAGTGACCTTGGCAGGGGCCTATTCGAGCTCGCACTACCCGCCATCGCACACCCCGTGGTAACCGTAACCGCACAGCATGCCGCCCACTTGACGCGCGCCGTCCACTCCGCCGCCCGCCGGCATCTCCAAAGCCACGCGTCAGACGCGGGGAAGAGAGCGCGTGGGCGGTCCTTGCAAGGCGAGAATCGGCTGGACGTGGCGATGGTTTCTGCAATTCTCATAGCCCGTCCTCTCTACTTCATTGCATTCGTCGTCTTGGGGCTGTTCAGCGTCGTCGCCATGCTCCTTGTGCTGAGCTGCAACCACCACCTTCCTCTCGCCGCCTCTGCTGTTGCGCACGCTGCTCAAACGGCCATCGCCCAAGCCCCAGTCATCTTCTTTATGCCGCTTCCCGTTATCCTTGCAGTTTCGTTCCTTTGCCTTCCTTTGATGAATAGCCTTCCGGGCGATACTAGTCTCATCCTCTTCGTCCTCCTGCTACCCACCTCTTTCTTCGTTGCTCAAGTGCTCTCGGCTCTCCTCATCTACTCCACAGCAGCTGTTTTTGCCCGGCTGTATGTCACAACCAGCGGCAGCAGCAGCAGGAGTAGCAGCGAGGGCGGGAAGGTGGGTGAAGGAGAGGAGGGCGTGACATTGAGAGGACAACTAGAGCTCTTCTCTTCAGCCTTCTCCCTGGCTTGCACCTCTTCCCTGGGTACCTGCTGTGCCATTGCCATCACCTCCTGTGCCACCACCATTCTCCAAGTCCTCCTCTCCGCCATCTTCCTCGCTCTCTTCGGCGAAAGCATCCTGGGCTGCCTTCTGCTGGCGCTGCTTCACTGCACACAGATTGTCATCCGGTTCTTCCTCAACTGCCTCGTCCTCCCCACCAGTGCCATGAGCGGCCATGGCTTCACTCGCTCTCTGCGCCTCTCTCTTGACATCCTGCAGCGCTTCCTGGCGCCCATTGTCACGGCCAATGCTGCTGGACTGGCCCTGCTTACCATGCTGGTGGTTCCCATTGTCATCATTTACAACATTATCGGGCTAATTGGGGTGAGTATGCTCTGTCCCTGCATGCTTCTTCCATGTTTGTGCATCATTCTCCGCAGGCCATCCTGCATGTTGACTCTCCTCGTATAAGCACATTCGCAGTTTTCATGTTCAAGGCGTGTTCTTCTGACATGGATACCTTATTGTCTCTATCCATTTGCAGGTCTATGCTTATGAGGCGTTGTTCCCCCTGGGAGATAGTCCTATGCAGCTAGGGGCTCTAGCTCTCCTCTTGGAAGCGTTATTGATTGTTTTTGTGGTTTGTCTTCTATCCGTTGTAGCACTCTCCTCCGTCCTCACCACAGGGGTCGCCACTACAGTGCTGTGTTTCGCCTGGGATAAGAAGCTTGAGCCAGAGGAGGGCTCTGATGCTGCTGGCTTGGTTGGTGATGAATCCATATCCTCTGCAGATGTCAAGGATACTAGTCCGGTGTAGAAGGGTGTAAATTCCCCAGCTCATTGTTTACATTGGTTCTGTTGTGTGCTTATTTTGTACCGTAATCGAGTACAATAAATAAAGAAACTCAACTTCAAAACCATCAAGAAGGATGAAATGTGCCATCAGCTTATGAACATGCAGCTCCAATATTCTGGCAGTAGAAAACAGGTAGCGTAGCTGATTTGGGATGTTTATAAGGACTAAATGATGCAACCTACGGTAATACAGATGCATCTTTTGGCAGTCATTGAAACATTGTTCTGTGCGCAAATTACCTCAACATCGCATCGACATTATCGAAGCGCCCAGCCATTACAAAAGCCGACGAAACCCATCCTCGTCGTCATCCAGCTGGGCGAATCCATCTCTGTCAGTTTTGGATATTCGTCAAATTCGTACACCGTCTGGCTCTTCATGTTCGAATCTTGCCACGCCCGCTCCGCCATTCCAACATCGCCTGTTTCTCTTCGTCTTCGCCCATCTGTCTTTCCCTTACGTTTCTCTTCCATTCCTCCCTTTCCTCAGCCTAGCCTTCTGCCATGAACACGAATCGCCATCCCTCTTTGCGATTGTGTTGCGATTGTGTTGCTACTCTCTGGTTTATAACACGAGGCAAGACAACCCCTATCAACCGCACCCCACAATCTTGCGTGCATGGTAGCGCCTCCATAGTTGTGTTGCTTTCCATTACCAAACTCGTTGGCGCAGCCATTCTCAGTACTCGTGAACGATTATTTGTCCAGCAAAATGAGTGAGGAGATCCCCTTAACGAGTACGCCCTCCGAGACGGAAGGCCCGTGCTCCCCCCCCGCTCTCTTAAAAAACGCGGGGCCCGCGAAACGCGCATCCAGTAGCCCTTTGACAAGTGGCGGCTGGAACGAGCTTGACGAATCGTCCAACATTTTCAATTTCCACGAGCGCCCCGTGCGCGACGCGGGATGGCGACTACTCCTCATCGTGCCGCTCATCGTCCTCGTCGGTCCAGGATTCTACGCCTTCACCTCCTCCCTCTCAGACCCTTACATCAGCCTCCCATTTTATTTCTTTGGAATTTTGATTGTGCTTCCCCTCCTCTTCGCCCTCAGCCTGCCCCTTCCCATGTTCCTCGTCTCGTGGCTCAAACTCCCAGCTATCGCCTTCAGGGTGCTTCTACTCCTCGCCGCCTTGATTTTCGCCGTGATCAGCACAATCATTGTCGCAGATTTCCTCTCGGTGCCTGCGCCGCTACATACAGAGGAAAGATCCCCGTCGTATCATGAGCCGTTTTCTGAGGAACCTACTGGCGCGTACTCTCCAGAATACAATTGCGCATTCACTGGCTGCTCTGTGCACGCGGACGTTGCGGAAAGCGCAGAGGACGGGCGGGAGGAGACGAACGAAGGCAGTGGCGAGATAATTGCGGGGGAACTGGGAGAGGAAGACGGGGCGGGTGACATGATGAATGGGTGGATGGAAGGGGGCGCAGTGGGGGAGATGGAAGGGGAAGCGGAAGGTTATGCGGAGGGGGGTTTGGAAGGGGGGCAAGGGTGTATGGGTTGGCGCACGGGTGTGGATGGGGGTACGGAATGGGGAATGGGCGATTGTGTGAAAGGAGGTTCTATGGAAGGGGAAACGGAGGCAGCAATGGAAGGGGGCACAGAAGGGGACATGTACGGAAGCACAGAAGAGGGCATGAACGCCGCAGCAAAGGGCGACAGCAGCAACAGCAGCGCACCTAGCAGCACAAGCAGCACGTTTCGCACCAATAGCAGCACGTATGGTGGCAACAGCAGCAGCGCTGCGGCCACGAGTGACCTCGGCAGGGGCCTACTCGAGCTCACACTACCCGCTGTCGCACACCATGCGATGACCGTTACTGCACACCACGCCGCCCACTGGGTGCAAGCCATCCGCCCCAACGCCCAGTCCGCCATCCGCCGTCTGCTGCAAGGCCACGCCGTGTCAGGCTCGGGGAAAAGTGTGCGCGGATGGTCCTTGCAAGATGAGCTGAGACCGGTGCTCCAACTGCAACAGGTTTCAGGCGTCTATCTTCTCTACTTCATTCCAGTCGGTTTTTTTGCAATTCTCAGTGCCGTCTCACTGCTCCTTGCGTTGTGCTGTGGCTACCACCTGCCTATCACCGCCTCTGTCATTGCCCACACCTCCCATGTGACCACCACAAAGGCCCCTGTTGTCTTCCGCATGCCACTCCCGTTTATGATTGCAGCTTCCTTTCTGAGCCCGGCTTTTATGTATTGTTTTCACGGCAATGGCACGGACCCCCTCTCCACCCTCCTTCTCCTCACCTTTCTTTTCATTGGCCAACTTCTTTTAGCTCTCCTCAACTACTCCACAGCAGCAATTTACGCACGGCTGTATGTCACAAGCAGTGGCACGAACAGCAGCAGCAGCAGCAACAGCAGCAGTAGCAAGAGCGGGCAGGGGGGTGAAGGGAGACAGGGAGCACCGAAAGGCCAGCGAGAGCTCTTCCTATCTGCGCTCGCCCTTGCTTGCACCTCATCCCTCGGAACCTGCTGTGCCGTTGCCTTCACCACCTTCACCATCACCATTGTCCTACTTATTCTCTCTGTCCTCTCCCTGGCCCACTTTGGTCCGAACAGCCTAGACTGGCTGCTTGTGGCGCTGCTTCTCTGCGCACACATTGCCATCCACTTCTTCCTCTACTGCCTCGTCGTCCCCACCAGTGCCATCAGCGGCCACGGCTTCACCCGCTCTCTGGGCCTCTCTTTCAACATCCTGTGGCGCTTCTTCGCGCCCATTGTCACGGCCAATGCTGCTGGACTCCTCCTGAATGCCATGCTGATCATTCCCATGTATTTCATATATGCATTAGCCGGGCTAATTGTGGTGAGTGCACGCAATATACGTTGTGAAGCATCGTGGATGTTGATTCTCATTGCAATGGCACATTCACAGCTTCCATGTTCAAGGTGTGTTCTCACTTGGATTCCCCTTCCCCTCCCCACCCATTGTCACTACTCACTTGCAGGTCTTTGCCACGATGCTAACAGGAAATGGCTGGATTGTGCTAATTGGTTTAATCTTGATAAGCATGGTAATTGCCGTGGTTTCTCTTCTCTCCACCATAGCGCTCTCCTCTGTGCTCACCACAGGGGTCGCCACCACAGTGCTGTGTTTTGCCTGGGACAAGAAGCTTGAGCCAGAGGACGGCTCTGATGCTGCTGGCCTGGTTGGTGGTGGTTCCTTGTCCTCTGCTGATGTTAAGGATATTAGCGCAGTGTAGGAGAATGCACCTGTGTGTGTGTGTGTGTGTGTGTGTGTGTGTGTGTGTGTGTGTGTGTGTGTGTGTGTGTGTGTGTGTGCGCGCGCGTGTGTGTGTGTGTGTGGTAGGTACCATGCATTCCAGTAAAAAATCCGCCTTCATTACCATGAGATGCTAAAAAACCTTTGCAACGCATTTACGAATTATAGACCTGCAATCATTTGGCAGCAGAGAGCAGGTCGCTGATTTGGGATGTGTAGAAGTCGGGGCGGATAGTGTTGTCGGGGCTGTTGAGGGTCTCCAGAGTTGTGACTCCTGGGACAGCAATACAGGCGTTGCAAGTGAAGGAAAACACGAGTTGTGGTGGGACCCGGATGTAGAAAAGGAATGAATGTATTGAGGCTGGATAGATATTTGGAATGACACGCCACACCATGAAACAATGGCATGTGAACACCAGCAAATTACCTCAGGCAAAAAACACCACTAAAAGTGCAGGGAGCACACCTGAGAGCACAAGCAGCGTGCGGCAGTCGCCGTTCTGGCCAAAGAGAATGTCCGTGTCCAGGCGATCCCCCACCATGCAGATCTGGTTCTTGGCTATGCCGAACCTGGGGGTTGACAGGGGTGAGGCAGAGGAACCATGTGAGGTAGCAGGGCAGTGCGGTAGGACATCATGAAGGTGGAGGGCTTAATAAATACATCAACGCCCCCCATCCCCCCTCCCACTCTCTCAACCCCTCGCATCTCACTTGGCAGCAAGGTAGTCCATCATGAAAGTAGAGGGCTTGCCCACCATCGAATCAACCAAGCCCCCTGTCTCCCCGCCCCCCCCTCCCCGCATCTCACACCCCGCCCCGCACTCACTTGGCAGCACGATAGTCCATCATGAAGGTGGAGGGCTTGCCCACCACCACGGGGTCCTTCTTGGTCGACCCCTTGATGGACTAATCACGCCCCCCACCCCCCTGGTCCTGCCTCTCACACCCCGCACTCACTTGCTGGCGAGGTAGTCCATCATGAAGGTGGACGGCTTGCCCACCACCACGGGGTCCTTCTTGGTCGACCCCCTTGATGGCGCCCACCATCGTGCACGTGGAGGGCTCGCCCACCCTTGACTCAACCAAGCCCCCCGTCTCCCTTTTCCCGCAGGCCCCCATCTCCCCGCCCCCCGTCCCTGCCTCTCACACCCTGCGCTGCACTCACTTGGCAGCGAGGTAGTCCATCATGAAAGTAGAGGGCTTGCCCACCACCACGGGCTCTTTCTTGGTCGACCCCTTGATGGCGCCCACCATCGTGCCTCCGCCCGCCCACTCCTGTGCGTCCGTCAGGTGCGTCACGGCGTCGCAGTTGGTGGCGATGAAGAGACACCCGGGGTTCTCCCGCAGACACAGCGTGGCGTACCTGGGAGGGTAAGGAGGGATGGGTGCAACGGGAGAGAGAGGGAGAAGTAAGTTCAGTGAGGACCAGTCAGGATCACTACACACAAAAGGTGGTGGATGGCCTTGGACAGGTGTCAATGGGGAGGGTTTATGGAAAGGAGGAAAGATGCATGCTGCCAGGAAGGATGGCGGAAGAGTTGCAAGAAGGAAGGAGGGAACTGAGGGAGCGAGAGGGTGGAAAAAAGAGGCGGAAGACGAGGGAGAAAGGGATGGGCGGTGGCAGAGGAGGAGACTCGATGCAGCATGTAGTAGTTGAGTTAAGGGTCTACGCCCACCACCCCATGCAGCAGCCCCACTAATCCTCGCTACCCCATGCATCCCCAGCAACCCCTCCAGGTGGGAATGAGGCGACTCACTGCAGCTTGTAGTAGTTGACGTAGCGGTCAAAGCCCACCACCACCGCTCCCACCTGGAGGGGTTATATTGGGTGTGTGGAGGGTGGAGGTTAAGGGGGGATGAACGGGGTGGTGGCTTCAATGGGATGCATGGGGTGGTGGGATTAACAAGGGATGCATGGCTTGGCGATGCATATGGGGTGCATGGATTGGACGTGCATCCCATGTCGCGTGATTTCTGTGGGGGCATGCACCATCCACATACTCATATCACCATCATGCACCATCCACATACTCATATCACCATCATTCAGACACTCACGTCAGCGTTGTGCTCCATGTACTTGCCCAGGCCCAAGTCAATCGATTTCTTCCCATCCTCCTGCAATCCACCAGCAACACAATCCGCCAGGCATAAACAGACACGCACAGTCAGTAAACACAGAAAGGAGAGGTTGAAGATCAAAGGGCCAGCGTGTAGGTGACAAGGTGAACGCCGGTACGTGTGAGACTCACGGATGCTGATGTGTATGGTACTCACCGGCCCCCCGATGTGGTTGATGCCAGCGAGGTCGAGTTTCGAGCTGGATGCCCTGCTCGCCCACCACGTACACCTTCTTCTCCGCCACATGCGTGCAGCACTCACCGGCCCTCTAATGTGTTTGCGGGTGCATTTGAAAGGGACTCACGGGGCCGCCGATGTGGTTGATGCCAGCGAGGTCGAGCTCGAGCTGAATGCCCTGCTCGCCCACCACGTACACCTTCTTGTCCGCCGCGTGTGTGTGCGACTCACCGGCCCCCCGATGTGGTTGATGCCAGCGAGGTCCAGCTCGAGCTGGATGCCCTGCTCGCCCACCACGTACACCTTCTTCTCGGCCACGTGCGTGCAACACTCAGTGTGTTTGATGCTTGTGCATGTGTGAGACTCACCGGACCACCAATGTGGTTGATACCAGCGAGGTCCAGTTCGAGCTGAATGCCCTGCTCGCCCACCACGTACACCTTCTTTTCCGCGGGGAAGTTGATGGATGTTAAATACGCCGCCGCCGCGAACGACGACGCGAAAATCTCCTCCTGAGATACAAGGGATGGGGTGGTGGGGGGAAGGGTAGGGGAGGTGAGGACGGGAGGGAAGGGGAGGTGAGGAAGGGGAAGTGGACGGTCACTGGTCCGGCAGCAACAAAGGGTAGGGCGCTTCCTCGGTTTCATTTCATCACTGGCCCCTCTCCCCAGCTATACGTTCGAGTGCCTCCACCCACCCCCTACTCTCGCCTGCAACACATGCCCTTGCAATCACGCATGCATGCAGCCCCAGGGAGCCCACCTCGGTGACGGCGAGTCCTAGGGACTCGAATTTCTTGCCGTACTGCTTGCGCGACTTGGTCGAGTTGTTCGTCACGAACACCAGCCGCTTGCCCTGCGACACACGCGAAGAAGGAGATTCAAATTAGCGAAGTCCGTGATGCTGCTGGCTCGCCTGATCGTAAAACAAATCTCGCAAAAGCGGTTTTACGGGTATCAACGAAACGGGTAACTTGCAAAGCAATTTGCCATTTTACCATTGCTCGCAGCATGTCAAGAGTCTCCGGGACGCCGTCGATGAGCTTATCGCCCTTCCATATGACACCTGAGGAAACATGATCAGAGCATGGCCATGCGATTTGAGAGACACGATGAACACAACGATGCCTGATGTGATACGTGTACGTTACGCTGAGAAAGGCGCAGGTTAGATCAGCAACTATACGCAGAAATGTGTTATTCGAGGTGTCTAACCGTGCATTTTCTATGGCAAAGGCCAATAATCATCGCATCCGTACCATCGCAGTCGAAGAGGAACGTCTCCACGCTGTCGATCAGCGCCCGCGCGTCCGTCAATAGCGGCGCCTTATCCGCTGCTGCTGGAGAGAAACGGAAATGAGTGATAGAACATGACAATTCGACATAGTAGTTCCAGGTTGGACGTATCCGTTCAGGAGATTGTTGAAGATAAAAGGTGTCCGTGTGTGAAAGGCGCTAAGTCTTCTGCAAATGCGATGGATAGCATAGGTAGGTTCCAACAGAAATCATCTTTTCACTCGATATCTCGGATCACATATGTTCGTCATTCGAACTGGTCTTTATAAAACGGTGATGTTCGTCGATGCTGTGGTTGCCGATCCCTGATTCAGCCGCATGTAGAGTACGCTGATAAAAGCAGCCATATGTGTTGACATCACAGGGTGACCCCGGTAATCTCACCATTGGCTGAGCTTCCGCTCTCCGCCTCCATGACGGACGACCCGGTCGATGCTCGCACAGACACAGCGCTTCGCGACGACCGCCGTGCGACGGGCTCCTGCGCGTGCGACAAAGCTAGTCGCACGCCGCTGATCGCCTGGCCCTGTTGCGACAGCTGCTGCGACGACGGCGACGCAGGCTGCAAAATCGCACGGGAGGTGGAGAGGAGCCGCTGTGCACAGCAGAGCCGCAGGGAGTGCGCCATAAGACGAGCAGAGCAAGCAGCTTTGAAACAAGGGCGCTCCTAAATTCCACTGAAGCAAGTGACACTTCCAAATTGATCAGGCGATTGAATTGTTATCCAAGGGCCTTGCTGAATGAAATGGCATAAACGGACTCGAGGAATGTCTGGCCAATGGTCCGGTATGCCTGGCAGGTCAGGCCAGAACCTTCGCCTCTTTCAATCCAAACCAAGCCTGTTTGTAGGCAATCCCAAGGTCGGATCAGCCATGACGCTGTGGTGTGTGTGGGCCTAACAGGCTCGGAATTCTCCGTGGCGCATTGTTCTGGTTCGGTATCCTCTGCCTGGGATGGTTGGTGCTCGTGGCCTTGAGAATGCTTTTGTTGCTTCCAACCGTCACCTGAGCCACGAAATGAAATCTGAGGTGGCTATGTGTGACTCGCCGGTTGCAGTGACTTCTCTGACGATGTTCATTTTCTGATGTCAATCAGCCGTGTCAGTGTTTCGTACGCGGTTGTAACCTTTCTGTTATTACGGTGCTCGTCTCGACATGAAGAATTTCATACCCACGGCCGTAGATTCTGATTGTGTTGTGTTTCTGACATCTGATTCCCGCAAACTGTTTCCTGGCTGTTCGTCTGACATTTCTGCTGGCAAACTCAAATTCGCCCCATCCATGCCTCCCACCACAAATACCCAAATTTCAGCGCTCCAACTTCTGTTTGACGTCGTTTGCTCATTAGCCATCTCCCTCCGGGATTCGAACTTTTGTTTCCGTCAATCGTTGTCTGTATCCCTCCTCGTCGGTTGATGAATAGCTTTTTGCAGTCATCGCTATCCCTCAGTTCGTTATCCCAGACTACCACTTCGTCCAGACTCCTAAGTTCGGAGGCCTCCTACTTTCCTTGTCAAGGATAGCGTAATCCCTTACGAATCAGTCCATTTCGGTAATGTCGACCCCCAGCAACACTCGTGGCACGGCGACTGCTGGTAGCGGTGGATTAGATGGGAGCGGGATGGCCGTCGGATTCGTTGGTCTGGGCGCGATGGGTGGTGGCATGGCGGCAGCTCTGGTGAAGCGAGGCTTTGCTGTGAAAGGATTCGACGTGAGTGGCTGAAGGGATTCGATGAAACTAGCTTGAAGGGATTCAACTCGAACGGCATATGAGTGAATTTGATTGAGAGCCTTCTTGGCATCACGTGCGTAGGTGTCAGCATCATAATATAGGCGCCTATCAAGGTGGATTCTTTCCGTAAATTAATTCTGTATCCGCCATCATCCCGTTCCTTTGCTGCTCCAATCTCTCTCGAGGCTCGTCGTGTGTCTCCCCCTCTTTGCCGGCTCCTTGTCTCCGCTGTCCCCTCACTTCCCTCATCTCCTCTCCACTCCGTAGTGTCGTCATTTTCCACTCCCCAGGTTTGCGGGGATAGCTCAGTTGGGAGAGCGTCAGACTGAAGATCTGAAGGTCGCGTGTTCGATCCACGCTCACCGCACTTTTCCTTACCTTTTTGCCTCAGGAGCATGTTGTGTAGAGCTTTTGCAGCGCCTCACTGAGCTTCGGAACCGCCCCGCACTATGTCTTCCTCGCCTCTCGCCTCTCGCCCCTCGCCCCCCTCACTCCTCTGCTTTCTCTGCACTTGCATGACCCACGCTCTCACCACAGGTGTACCCTCCAGCATGTGAGAAGCTCAAATCCACAGGGGGTGCTGCTGCTGCCTCCGCTGCCGATGCTGCAAACGGTAACACATGGCATCTGTGCAGCTCTCAACACCTTGCATGCGATCCTCTCACGTCACGTGCTGCTTGCGCCTCTTCTTTCTCGAATTTCTTCACCTCATTGCTCATAGTCCCCTTTCATGTCTCCTGTCAGGCGTCCTCCCTCATCCTTCTCCTTCAGGCCTCCTCCTTCATCCTTCTCCTCCATGCCTTCCCCATGCCTCTCTCTGTGCTTGTCTCAGGAGCTGGGGTGCTGGTGCTGATGGTGACCACGGGCAAGCAGGCTGAGGGGGCTCTATTTGGTGATCAGGGGGCGCTGGAGGGTAAGTGTTTGTGATGACTGTGAGATGAGAGGGGTAAAGAGCGGTACGAGGCGCAGAGGGCTAAAGAAGTGGCTAGGCATAGCAAAACCACAAATGTGCGCCCTTGTCTGACTCTCCTTCTCTCTTGTCACATTTCTGTGCCACCTCTCCTCTCCTTCCCTTCACCCACTCCTGCCCTCATGCCCTCTTCTCCCCCCCATTTGCAGCACTTCCCCCCAGTGCTGTTGTCATCCTCTGCTCCACTGTTCCGCCTGAATTTGCACGCAGCCTTGGCAGCAAGCTCTCAGGTAGCATTCATCTCCAAAGCAACTTCCACCCCCCCCCCCCCCTTCTCCTCCCCCCTCCTCGCTGCTCCTTTGAGAGAATCCTTGGATGGACTTTCTGAGAAACTGGGCTGATGCCGTCTGCCTTCTGTTTTCCCACTGATCTCTCTATCCGCTCCCGCTCATCCGGCCTTCACCTCTCTGGTTGCTAATTTTCTGTTCCCTTGCTGTCCGTCTGTGCGTGCAGCGCAGGGCAAGGGGTGGGAGATGGTGGATGCACCGGTGTCAGGAGGGGTGGCACGCGCTGCTGACGGTACCCTCACTGTAAGATTTTTTGTTGAGGCGCCTCAATAGTTGCCACGGCTAATAAATGTTCCGATGTCAGGAGGCATGGTACGCGCTGCTGACGGCACTCTCATTGTGAGCTTCGTTTCCGAGCAGCGCTGTCTCCTTGTGCATTATTAGCTCGTCGTGCCTGAGGCACGTGCTATCATGGGACTTACCCACTCCTCTCACATCTGTCCTATCCCCTCATTACTCTCTGCTCCCTGACCCTCTTATCCCGACCCGACATGGCCTGCTGCAGATAATGGCCGCAGCTACTCCTGCTGCTATCGCCAAGGCACGGCCAGTGCTGGAAGGTATGCTGCCAGGGCTGTGCACGCCGCTTGATGGTCCTATGCTTGATGGTCCTATGCTTGATGGTCCTATGCTTGATGGTCCTATGCTTGATGGTCCTATGCTTGATGGTCCTATGCTTGATGGTCCTATGCTGGTCCTATGCTTGATGGTCCTATGCTGGTCCTATGCTGGTCCTATGCTGGTCCTATGCTAGTCCTATGCTGGTCCTATGCTTGATGGTCCTATGCTGGTCCTATGCTGGTCCTATGCTAGTCCTATGCTGGTCCTATGCTTGATGGTCCTATGCTGGTCCTATGCTTGATGGTCCTATGCTGGTCCTATGCTGGTCCTATGCTTGATGGTCCTACGCTGGTCCTATGCTTGATGGTCCTATGCTTGATGGTCCTATGCTGGTCCTATGCTTGATGGTCCTATGCTGGTCCTATGCTTGATGGTCCTATGCTGGTCCTATGCTAGTCCTATGCTGGTCCTATGCTTGATGATCCTATGCTGGTCCTATGCTGGTCCTATGCTTGATGGTCCTTTGCTAGTCCTATGCTGGTCCTATGCTGGTCCTATGCTTGATGGTCCTATGCTGGTCCTATGCTATGCTGGTCCTATGCTGCTCATTCCCTCGTTTTCCAAGGTCTTTCTCTAACATCCTGATCACCCAATGATCCTCTCTCTCCCCCTTCTCCCCCACACTCCCTCCTCGCCCGGTGCAGCCATGAGTGCGAAGCTGTACATAGTGGGTGACACACCAGGAGCAGGCAGGTGCGTGGGTGGGGCCTGTGGGCCAGGGAGGTAAGGGGGAGATGAGTGAGCTGGTGGCGGGGTGCAGATAGCATTTGCAGCAGGTCACTTGTGCTTGGACTCACCTGTGTGCCTTCTCTCTTCTCTCGCGCTTCTCCCTCTTCTCCCATGTTGCCCTCTCCTTTTCGTCTCGCTGTCCTCTACTGCTCCCCCTCTTCTCCCCCCAGGGCTGTGAAAATGGTGAATCGGTTGTTGGCAGCGGTGCACATAGCAGCAGCTTGTTTGTTGCTCGCAAGCTCACATGTAGCACCTCTTCCCCCTCTCTCCCTCTCCCCATTTCTCACTCTTCAACCATCTCCTCCACCAGTGCGGTGAAGATGGTGAATCAGCTGCTGGCAGGGGTGCACATAGCAGCAGCAGCAGGTCACTCCTGTGTTGACTTATATGTCTTCCTTCCCCATTCTCCCCATCACTCTCCCCAACTCTTCTTCTCCCCCCCCCCCGACCAGTGCGGTGAAGATGGTGAATCAGCTGCTGGCAGGGGTGCACATAGCGGCAGCAGCGGAGGCAATGGCATTGGGGGCGAGGGCAGGACTCAACGCGCGCATGGTGTTTGACATCATCTCACACGCTGCTGGCAACTCATGGTGGGTTGATTGAGGCGTGTTCTTCATAGTGTTTTGCTTCTGGGGTGAGGGCACATAGCAGCGGAGGCGATGGCACTGGGGGCGAGGGCGGGGCTGAACGCGCGCATGGTGTTTGACATCATCTCGCATGCTGCTGGCAACTCGTGGTGGGTTGTAACTTGTATTGAGGTGTCTTGTGAGTCTACCCAAAGGGCTGAACGCGCGCATGGTGTTTGACATCATCTCGCATGCTGCTGGCAACTCGTGGTGGGTTGTAACTTGTATTGAGGTGTCTTGTGAGTCTACCCAAAGGGCTGAACGCGCGCATGGTGTTTGACATCATCTCGCATGCTGCTGGCAACTCCTGGTGGTTTGCCATGCTTAGAAGCACCTTGCTGCTGGATTGAGGTATGTTTGGTGCTGCGTTGGGTAGCACTTTCACTATTGAGTGGCTCAGACGTTGCTCAAGAAAATGCTTTGCGGTGTGATTCGCGGCATAACACGATGCTCATTCCTGATGCCGATCACCCATCACCATCCCCATCCCCACGCCCATGCCCATTGCACATCTCAGGATGTTTGAGAACCGAGTGCCACACATGCTGGACAATGACTACACGCCCCGCTCCGCCCTCAACATCTTTGTCAAGGACCTGGTATGCCGTGCTGTGGCACTCGCTCACGCAGTCTACATTCATAAAAACATCTACCTACACGCCCCGCTCCGCGCTCAACATCTTTGTGAAGGACCTGGTATGCTGGAGTGCAGAGCTCTCTAATCACATGGTATACCAGCCACCCGTCTGATATGCTGTACCGAGGCAGTCTCGCCATCCACACTTGGTTCTCGTGATATGGTCGAGCGTTGTGTGGTTGGGTGCACTGCAGTGCGTGGCACCCAAGCCACTAGTTGAGAAGCACGCCTCACATCGTGTCCATTCACTTCACTCTTGCTCCCTCCTCCCACTTCCCTATTCGTTTTCACCCATCAGGGCATTGTGTTGGGCGAGGCACAGTCACTCGCGTTCCCACTGCCCCTGGCAGCAGCAGCACACCAGCAGTTCCTAGCGGGTGCAGCAGCGGGGCTGGGCAGGGAGGACGACGCTGCCGTGGTCAAGGTGAGCGGAAAGAGGGGAGGAGGTTTGGGTATAGATTGTCATGGAAAGGCACATGTTTCATGCTCTGCATTGCAGGTATCCTGACTGCTGTTGCTGCTGCCTGTCATCTCCTTGAATCGCCCTTTGCTTTGTCTCTCTTTTCCCCTAGCCCCTACACCCTAGTACTCTCGCACCCGTTTCCACCCATTTATATCCGTCCGCACCCATTCCCACCCACCTCTGCCCATCTCCCCTCTAGGTGTATGAACGCCTGGCGGGAGTAACAGTCGCCTCCACCCTCCCCGCCTCCTCCTCCCCTCCTGCCACCTCCTCTGCTCCGTTCCCGGAGCCCACCGTCCAATCAAAAGCCGCCATGCTGGCAGCGCTGCCGCCCGAGTGGACAGGCAGCTTGGAAGTGACAGGTGGAGGCGGAGAGGGCAAAGGGGGCAAGGAGGGGAGCGCGGGGGGAGGGCAGGGAGAGGCGGTGCTGCCAGTGGTGGTGATACTGGATGATGATCCCACGGGCACCCAGACCGTGCATGGGCTGCACGTGCTCACCACGTGGTAAGGAGTGTGGTGGTAATTACCTGGTATGTGTGCAGTAACCTCGTGGTAGGGCAAAGGGAGGGCTGGGGGAGAGGATGCTGCCAGTGGTGGTGGATGATGACCCCACTGGCACTCAAGACTGTCCATGGGCTGCACGTGCTCACCACGTGGTAAGGAGTGTGGTTACCACGTGGTATGTGTGTGGTAACCAGGTAGGGCGATGGTGGGTGGTGCCACGGAGAGGCGGTGCTGCCAGTGGTGGTGGTGTTGGATGATGACCCCACCGGCACCCAGACCGTGCACGGGCTACATGTGCTTACCACGTGGTATGTGTGTGGTATCCACCACACGGTAGAGCGTGTGCTTAACATGTGTGTGGTAACCACAACATAGCGCATATGCTCAACACGTGGTATATGTGTGGTAACCACGTGCTAGAGAGTGTGGTAACCATGTAGTAGGCCATGTGGTAACCACGTGGTGTGGTGGGTGGTAAAAACGTTGTACAGTGGATGTTAAGCGTAGTCTCTTATCCTCGCATTCTTCTTGTATCTCCCAAACTCATGGTCGAAGGGCTGCAGTAGCAGAAAAACGCTTAGGCAAAGGAACAACAGTAAAAAACGCTTTTTTTCACAAGCGTTTTTTTTTTTTTTTTTTTTTTTTTTTTCACAAGCGTTTTTTACTGTTGTTAAGCGTAGTCTCTTATCCTCGCATTCTTCTTGTATCTCCGTTTTTCCTTCCACTCCTTCCCCAGGGACGTAGAGACACTCCAGGCAGAGATGGCAGCACTAGCACACACCCCCAATGCCGCCTTCTTCATTCTCACCAACTCCCGCGCGTTACCTACACAGCAGGTGGGTGGGGCATGGCATAGCATCACGTGGCATTGTGTGGCGTGGCAACTGTCCTCATCCTTATTACCACCACCTCCATCGTCCTATATCCATCCTTCCCCATGCTGCTGCTTCCCTGCCCTTTCAAACTGCATCTTTCTCGTTCCTCTCCGCCTCTCTTTTGACCATTTTCCCCTCACTCTCCTCTCCTCGCCGTCCTCACACTACCTCATCTGCACCATGGCAGGCAGCAGCTCTCACGCGCACCATCTGCAGCAATGTCGTGACAGCAGCCCAGCAAGCAGGGATCCTCAGGTAAGCAGCGGTGGAGATGGGCGAGAATGGGTTGTGGGGAGCAGAGTGGCGGTGGTGATTGGTTCTGTGAATGGCTGTGGTGGTGAGAGCAGAGGCAGTGGCTTGGCTTGGCTGGGCCAGTATACCCACAGAAGCACAGAAATTTGGCAGAAGCAAGCCGTCGTCGCTGTCACTCTGTGCACGTGGTGTGCCTCGTGTGTGTGCAGCAGCAGCAGTGGTAGCAAGGACCCAGGGTGCAGAGGCATCACACTCATTCTCCGAGGGGACTCCACCCTGCGAGGCCACTTCCCCCAGGTATCCTGTTTTACTCAGCTTGCTGCCGTTGCTTCCTCTCCCACCATCCTTCCCCTGCAACGATCCTCGTTCTTGCCTACACGTCCCTCGTTCCTCCCTGCTCTGTTTGGCTGATGGGTCTGACAGGTGGGAAAGAGGAGGGTGTTCACAGACTCTCCTTGTCTAATGCAGCCGAGGGAGCGTTGGGAGCAGCAGTGGATGCATGGGTGGTGTGGTTTGGTTGCGTTGCCATTTGACTCTGCGTGCTTCCATGCTTTCTCACTCCCCCCTTTACTCCTCTCGCCCTATCCAGGAGGTAGAGGCAGCGGAGGCAGCACTAGGCACAGCAGTGGATGCATGGGTGGTGTGCTGTGGTTGCCATTTGACTCTGTGTGCTTCCATGCTTTCTCACTCCCCCCTTTACTCCTCTCGCCCTATCCAGGAGGTAGAGGCAGCGGAGGCAGCACTAGGCACAGCAGTGGATGCATGGGTGGTGTGCTGTGGTTGCCATTTGACTCTGTGTGCTTCCATGCTTTCTCACTCCCCCCTTTACTCCTCTCGCCCCATCCAGGAGGTAGAGGCAGCGGAGGCAGCACTAGGCACAGCAGTGGACGCGTGGGTGGTGTGTCCTTTCTTCCTGGAAGGAGGCCGCTACACCATCAACGATGTGCACTACGTGGCCGATGGGGCTGACAGGTGAGAGCGAGGGGTGCTGGTGGGCAGGGGTGCTGGTGGGCAGGGGTGCTGGTGGGCAGGGGTGCTGGTGGGCAGGGGTGCTGATGGGCAGGGGTGCTAGGCTGCTGGGCTGCGAGGCTGTTAGGCTGTTAGACTGCTACGCTGCTACGCTGCTTCGCTGCTACGCTGCTATGTGAGGGGTACTGGTGGTGTGGTGGGTGATAGAAGCACATGCACCATGTGGCTGATGGGCCCACTATGCACCTTCTGCTGTACCCAACCTGCTCTCGCGCAATCCTCACCCTCACCTATCCTCCACATCCCAAGGACGCTGCCTTTCAGTCGACTCAAGTGTCCACCCCACCACCCCAGGCTAGTGCCGGCTGACAGACAGAGTTTGCAAAGGGCGCTGCTTTTGAGTACTCCCACTCCAACGTCAAACAGGTGCCTTTGAGTCGACTCAAATGTCCACCCCTCCGCCCCTACACCACCCCACCACCCCAGGCTAGTGCCGGCTGCACAGACAGAGTTTGCCACGGACCGCCTTTGAGGGGCCTCAGAAACACCACCTGCCACACTCCACCACCTCTTCACACCCCACCACGATCCACCACCCCTTGACGCCCCTCCACACCAGGCTAGTGCCGGCTGCACAGACAGAGTTTGCGAAGGATGCGGCCTTTGAGGGGCCTCAGAAACACCACCTGCCACACTCCACCACCTCTTCACACCCCACCACAATCCACCACCCCTCCACACCCCACCACCCCAGGCTAGTGCCTGCGGCACAGACAGAGTTTGCAAAGGATGCGGCCTTTGGGTACTCCCACTCCAACCTCAAACAGGTGCGAGGCTGTGCAGTGCGGTGATGTGTGGTACTGTGGTGTGCTGTGTGGGAAGGAGGGATGTACACTTGTAAATGTGGGTTTCTGGATGTCGTGCAGCCGAATGTGTCCATGCATGCACTAATCTCTTCTCCTGTATGCCTCTCTGTCATGCTCTCTGCTCAGTGGGTGGAAGAGAAGACAGGTGGCGCCAGGTCAGCAGCTGACGTGGCATCCATCTCCATCTCGACCATCAGAGAGGGCGGCTGCTCCGCCGTCCTTAAAGCCCTCATGGCTCTGCCTAAGGTGTGCCCGGTTGCCCCTTACTGCTCCCTGTTGCTTCCGTTCGTGCTCCCCCATGCTCCTCCTATACTGCCTTGTGAATGATGTGCTCTGAGGGTTAAAGCCCTCGTGTCACTGCCCAAGGCACGACGTGCTGCCCCATGATACTTCCTGCTGCGCCCTTGAATTCCCCCCACACCCCACCTCTTCCTTCCCCCCTTGTTCCCACAGGGCAGCGTGTGCATTCTCAATGCAGCGGCGACAGTGACTTGCACGTGGCAACAGCGGCCCTAAGATACGCAGAGGCAGCAGGGCGCTCTTTCCTCGTGCGCTTTGCTGCCTCCTTTGTCTCCTCCCTCATCTGCACACCTTGATTTTCGCGCCCTCCCGCCCTCTCCCTCCCCCTTGCTCCTGCAGGGCAGTGTGTGCATTCTGAATGCAGCGAGTGACAGTGACCTGCACGTGGCAACAGCGGCTCTAAGATACGCAGAGGCAGAAGGGCGCTCCTTCCTCGTGCGCTCTGCTGCTTCCTTCGTCTCCTCCCTCCTCGCCCTCCCCAAACTGCCCCCGCTTGGTCCCCCTGAGTGGGCGCAGCTGCTGCTGGGGGGAGGGGCGGGGGGAGAGTGTGGGGGGGATGGGGAGACGGGAGGGGAGGGGGAGTGGGGGCGGAAGTTGAAGCGGTGGAAATGGCTGCGGAGCGGTACCGGGGGGTTGATTGTGGTGGGGTCGTACGTGCCAAAGACGAGTGCTCAGGTGAGCGGGAGAGGGTGGGTTGAGGTTCCGTCCGTTCCGTCCTCTTCCTTCCATCCCCTTCCCTTCACTTCGCTCCCCATCTCTTTCCCATTCCTTTCCCTCCTTCCCTACCCATCCCACCCCTCCACTCGCATGGCATCAGCTGGAGGAGTTGCTCTCCCGCCTGGGCTCGTCACTGCATGTGATCCAGGCAAGTTGGAGAGTGTGCATGCATGCATGGCGATGTGGGTGCTTGGTAGTGTGGGCTGTTCCCTCCCTGTCCTTGCTGCCCCGTCCTCCCACTCGCATGGCATCAGCTGGAGGAGCTGCTCTCCCGCCTGGGCTCATCGCTGCACGTGATCCAGGCAAGTCCGTGGTGGGGCGGTGTGATGGTGGGGCGGTGGGGCAAGTCCAGGCAAATGCATGGTAGATGCTGGCATGAGGACGGCAGTTTGCAGAGAAAACGTTGCTGTAAGCCATTCTGGTCAGCGTGAGTTTAATTCCATAATGACCATTGCAAGCAGTCTCACTTCTGCCCTTCCTCCCTCTCCCTCCCTCACGTCTCTCCACGTGATCGGACAGGTCAGCGCTGCTGACGTGGCGTCGGTCAGCTGGCAGGGGGAGAGGAGGGAAGTGGCGGTGGCAGGGATGGCGGAGGAGGCGGAGATAGCACTGCGGGAGGGGCGGGATGTTGTCATCATGACGTCACGAGAGCTAATCACTGGGTCAGGTGGGTGCTAGCAGCGGGGAGGGGGCAAGCAGTCTGGAGATCGGGTGGAGAGTGAGTGAGGCGGTGTGGATTTGGATTGATATAACGATATCACTCCTGCATCCCTTTCTTCTTCCATCCTCGCTCCCTCTCATCCTCTTGACTGTCCCCATCGCCCCCGTGATTGTTCCATGGCCCCCACCAGACCCAGCAAGCAGTCTGGAGATTGGGTGGAGAGTGAGCGAGGCGGTGGTGGGTTGTAATGTTGCTCTTGCATTCTCTGCACCTTCTATCCGTCTCCCCATCCCCATCCCCATCCCCATCCCCATCCCCATCCCCATCCCCAGACCCGGCCAGCAGTCTGGAGATCGGGTGGAGAGTGAGCGAGGCAGTGGTGGATTTGGATTATCTAATTATATCACTCTTGCATCCCTTGCCCTTTCCATCCTCGCTCCCTCCCCATCCTCCCCATCCGCAGACCCAGCAAGCAGCCTGGAGATCGGGTGGAGAGTGAACGAGGCAGTGGTGGCTTTGGATTATCTAATGATATCACTCTTGCATCCCTTGCCCCTTCCATCCTCGCTCCCTCCCCATCCTCCCCATCCCCAGACCCAGCCAGCAGTCTGGAGATCGGGTGGAGAGTGAGCGAGGCGGTGGTGGAAGTTGTGAGGGCGATTGGCGTGCGCCCCAAATACATTCTCGCTAAGGTGCGGTGGGATGGAGAACGGTGGGATGGAATGGGGCGAGGCGGGTTGGGGCAACACTACTATCAACAGGTTCAGATAAAGGGCATTGGGATGTATGGGCGTGTAGAAATTTGGAGAGGACGTCTGCAGCATGGCATGGCATGTCATGGCATGGCATGTCATGGCACGGGATGGCATGGCATTGCATGGCATGGCATTGCATGCCAGGGATGCATGTGCAAGCTATCTCAGACCCTCGTAACCAACACCGTTTTCACTTTCACGCGCATCAGGGCGGCATCACATCATCGGACGTGGCAACCAAGGCGTTGGGAGTGGGGAGGGCGAGGGTGGAGGGGCAGGCCATGGCAGGCGTGCCGCTGTGGCGCCTCGATACTGCCTCCAGATTCCCTGACCTGCCCTACATCGTCTTCCCAGGTGGGGTCCTCCTTGCAGTCTTTCCCTTAACATATCTTTTGAGGCATGGAGGGCGAGGGTGGAGGGGCAGGCCATAGCAGGCGTGCCGCTGTGGCACCTCGACAACGCCTCCAGATTCCCTGACCTGCCCTACATCGTCTTCCCAGGTGGGGTCCTCCTTTTAGTCTTTCTCAAAGTTGACTCCAACATGCGAGGGTGGAGGGGCAGGCCATGGCAGGCGTGCCGCTCTGGTGCCTCGATGCCGCCTCCAGGTTCCCGTACCTGCCCTACATCGCCTTTCCAGGTACTTTCCGGTTCTTGCGTGTCCAGTTCTGTATCGTTTTGTTTGAGTCGACTCAAAAGCAGCTGGTTCTTGTGCGGGTAGCAGCAGAGGACGATTGTTGAGTTGACTATAAGGTTCTCTTATCCACTCTCCCATTCACCAGGCAACGTGGGATCATCCTCATCCCTCGCAGATGTGGTGCAGCGCTGGCGCCAGCCCATCACCCCGCCCCTGCTGACCACGCTAGACCTAGTGCGCGCAGCAGCAGAGGGCGATTGTTGAGTCGACTAAAAGATTCTCTCATCCACTCCCCCATTCACCAGGCAATGTGGGATCGGCCTCTTCTCTTGCGGATGTGGTGCAGCGCTGGCGCCAGCCCATCACCCCGCCCCTGCTGACCACACTAGACCTAGTGCGCACAGCAGCAGACGGCGGGTATGCGGTGGGGGCGTTCAACGTGTATAACCTGGAGGGGGTGCGGGCCGTGGTGAAGGGAGCAGAGGAGGAGAGGAGCCCAGCGATTATTCAGGTATGCTGTATGCCATGGTGGGAGGGCGGCTATGCAGTGGGGGCGTTCAACGTGTATAACATGGAAGGGGTGCGGGCCGTGGTGAAGGGAGCAGAAAAAGAGAGGAGTCCAGCCATCATCCAGATACACAATACGCGACGTTGCGGTGGGAGGGGTTGAGTGCGGTGGTGCGGGGAGCAGAGGAGGGGAGCCATACTCGCCAGCAAACACAATGGCTGAGGTAGTGAGAAGTCATTATGACCTCTCCCCCTCTCCATCCTTTCATCTCTGAATTTCTCCTCTCTGACTCCCTCTTCCGTTCCCTCTCCCCAGCTGCACCCCTCGGCCATCCGTCATGGGGGAGAGGCCCTCATGGCAGCGAGCCGAGCAGCAGCTATGGCAGCATGCGTGCCCATCGCCTTGCACCTGGACCATGCCACAGACGTGGGCCTTATTCAGCGATGTGTGGAACAGGTGCGTGTGCCCATGGTGCTGTGTGGAGGTGCGTGCATCAGGTCAACATGCCTGGTGATCTGCGCCGTATACCCCCTCCCCCACCGCACATGATCGGTGAGTGCAGGGGTGGTGCCGGTCCATCATGGTAGTTGCTTCACACCTGCCTCTACCGCATCCCACCCACCATTACCGTTCCCCATACTCTCTCCTCCCCTCCCATCCCTTTGGTGAGTGCAGGGGTGGTGCCAGTCTATCATGGCGGACGGCTCTCACCTGCTACAACCCCATTCCCACATACTATTCCCATGACCCATACATACACTATCCACTCCCATCATCCAATCCACACTTGTGGTGACTGCAGGGGTGGTGTTGCTCCATCATGGCAGACGGCTCTCACCTGCCCTTGGCTGACAACGTCGCCTTCACTCGACTCGTTGTGGCTGCCCTCGCTGCCCTCACTGCCCCGGAAGGAGCAGATGCAACATTCATGACCCATACACTTTCCCCCTTCTCCTACCCCGCATGCTTGTGAGTGCAGGGGTGGTGCCGATCCATCATGGCGGACGGCTCTCACCTGCCCCTTCCCCATTCCCACACGCTATCCCCTTGACCCGTTCTGTATCCGCCCCCATCCCCCACCCCACATGCGTGTGACTGCAGGGGTGGTGCCGGTCCATCATGGCAGATGGCTCGCACCTGCCTCTGGCTGACAACATCGCCTTCACTCAACGCGTTGTCGCCGCACTCGCTTACCATGTCCCCCCGTACCCCATACTCTCTTCCCCACCCCACATGCGTGTGACTGCAGGGATGGTGCCGCTCCATCATGGCAGACGGCTCACACCTGCCCCTGGCAGACAACATCGCCTTCACTCAACGCGTTGTCGCCGCACTCGCTCCCCTCACCGTTCCAGCAGCAGCAGATGCTCCAGCGGCAGCGAAAGCGGCATGCAGCGGGGGAGGGGCAGTGGTGGTGGAGGCGGAGGTGGGGCGGATAGCTGGGGTGGAGGATGGGGAGACGGTGGAGGACATTGCAGGGAGACTCACACAGGTTGAGCAGGTGAGGTGCGGTGGGAGCAGGTGGGGCACGGTGGGAGCAGGTGGGGCACGGTGGGAGCAGGTGATCCCAACTGCCAGGTGTCACTCATCGCAATGTGTGTCGGCACTATCCCTCATCCCTTCCCCTTCCTCCTTCCCCCTTCCCCCATACCCCCACATGCCTCATCCCTTCCCATCCCTCCTTCCCCCGGCTCCCCACCCGCACCTGCACCTTCTCCCCTCCCCCCCTGGTGCTGCACGGAGCCTCGGGATTGTCTCCAGAGATTGACGTGTCTCATCTCTTCCCATTCCTCCGTCTGCCCACCTTCCCATGCAGGCTGAGACCTTCCTCTAAAGCGTTCCCCAGGTGTCTCTCCTCGCAGTGTGTGTGGGCAACCGCCACGGCCCCTACCCGCCCTCAGAGAGCGTTGCCCCTGACTTTCCTTTCACACTCAACCCGGATCGTCCCGTTCCTCCCTCTTTTGCCCATGCAGGCCGAGACTTTCCTTCAAAGCGTTCCCCAGGTGTCTCTCCTCGCTGTGTGTGTGGGCAACCGGCACGGACCATACCCGCCCTCCGCGCTCTCTTCCCCCGCCTCCATCCTCAACCTCCCTCTCCTCCGCTCCCTCGCCGTCCCCGCCTCAAACCACCACGCACACCTGGTGCTGCACGGGGCCTCGGGATTGCCGCCAGAGATTGTGCAGGAGTGTGTACAGTGCGGCGTGCGCAAGTTCAATGTTAATACCGAGTTGAGGGCTGCTTATATGGAGGCACTGGCGGGGACTGGGGGAGGGGGGGGAGGAGGGAGGGATTTGGTGGATGTGATGGGAGAGGCGGAGAGGAGGATGATAGATGTGGTGAGGGGGAAGGTGAGGCTGTTTGGGTCGGCTGGTCGCGTGTGAGCTTGCATGTGTGTGGAAGAGGGGAGAGGGGTGTGGCAGAGGAGGGGGGAGGGAATGAGTGGATGTGATGGGAGAGGCTGAGAGGATGGAGACTGTGGTGCGGGAGAAGGTAAGGCTGTTTGGGTCGGCTGGTCGCATGTGAGCTTCGTGTGTGGGAGAAGGGAGTGTGGGAGAGGGGAGTGTGGGAGAAGGGAGTTTTAGAGAGGGAGGTTGCGGGAAGGGAGGAGGGATTAGATTGACATTGAAATAGATGGATTAAAGAGCGGTGGAAGCAGATGGGTTGTAGGGTTGTTTTACACAGTTCATGCTGTGTACACAGTTAATTGCATCAATGAGTGTCAAAAGCGGAAACTTCAAACTTCGGAAACTACCTGTCCCATGCATCGTTCCCACGAGCATCGTTCCCACAGGCCTCGTTCCCACGAGCATCGTTCCCAGGGGCCTCGTTCCCAGGGGCCTCGTTCCCAGGGGCCTCGTTCCCAGGGGCCTCGTTCCCAGGGGCCTCGTTCCCAGGGGCCTCGTTCCCAGGGGCCTCGTTCCCAGGGGCCTCGTTCCCAGGGGCCTCGTTCCCAGGGGCCTCGTTCCCAGGGGCCTCGTTCCCAGGGGCCTCGTTCCCAGGGGCCTCGTTCCCAGGGGCCTCGTTCCCAGGGGCCTCGTTCCCAGGGGCCTCGTTCCCAGGGGCCTCGTTCCCAGGGGCCTCGTTCCCAGGGGCCTCGTTCCCAGGGGCCTCGTTCCCAGGGGCCTCGTTCCCAGGGGCCTCGTTCCCAGGAGTCTCGTTCCCAGGGGCCTCGTTCCCAGGGGCCTCGTTCCCAGGGGCCTCGTTCCCAGGGGCCTCGTTCCCAGGGGCCTCGTTCCCAGGGGCCTCGTTCCCAGGGGCCTCGTTCCCAGGGGCCTCGTTCCCAGGGGCCTCGTTCCCAGGGGCCTCGTTCCCAGGGGCCTCGTTCCCAGGGGCCTCGTTCCCAGGGGCCTCGTTCCCAGGGGCCTCGTTCCCAGGGGCCTCGTTCCCAGGGGCCTCGTTCCCAGGGGCCTCGTTCCCAGGGGCCTCGTTCCCAGGGGCCTCGTTCCCAGGGGCCTCGTTCCCAGGGGCCTCGTTCCCAGGGGCCTCGTTCCCAGGGGCCTCGTTCCCAGGGGCCTCGTTCCCAGGGGCCTCGTTCCCAGGGGCCTCGTTCCCAGGGGCCTCGTTCCCAGGGGCCTCGTTCCCAGGGGCCTCGTTCCCAGGGGCCTCGTTCCCAGGGGCCTCGTTCCCAGGGGCCTCGTTCCCAGGGGCCTCGTTCCCAGGGGCCTCGTTCCCAGGGGCCTCGTTCCCAGGGGCCTCGTTCCCACGAGCCTCGTTCCCACGAGCCTCGTTCCCACGAGCCTCGTTCCCACGAGCCTCGAACCCACGGGCCTCGACCCCACGAGCCTCGAACCCACGGGCCTCGACCCCACGAGCCTCGACCCCACCGGCCTCGTTCCCAGGGGCCTCGTTCCCAGGGGCCTCGTTCCCAGGGGCCTCGTTCCCAGGGGCCTCGTTCCCAGGGGCCTCGTTCCCAGGGGCCTCGTTCCCAGGGGCCTCGTTCCCAGGGGCCTCGTTCCCAGGGGCCTCGTTCCCAGGGGCCTCGTTCCCAGGGGCCTCGTTCCCAGGGGCCTCGTTCCCAGGGGCCTCGTTCCCAGGGGCCTCGTTCCCAGGGGCCTCGTTCCCAGGGGCCTCGTTCCCAGGGGCCTCGTTCCCAGGGGCCTCGTTCCCAGGGGCCTCGTTCCCAGGGGGCTTGTTCCCACGGGCCTCGTTCCCAGGGGTCTCGTTCCCAGGAGCATCGTGACCACGAGCATCGTGACCACAAGCATCGTTCCCACGAGCATCGTGACCACGAGCATCGTTCCCACGAGCATCGTTACCACGAGCATCGTTCCAACGAGCATCGTTCCCACGAGCATCGTTCCCACGAGCATCGTTCCCACGGTAATCGTTACCACGAGCATCGTGAGCTCGGGCATCGTTCCCACGAGCATCGTTACCACGAGCATCGTAAGGTCGGGCATCGTTACTACGAGCATCGTTACAACGAGCATCGTCACTACGAGCATCGTTAATACGAGCATCGTTACTACGAACATCCTTACTACGAGCATCGTTACTATGAGCGTCGTTACTGTTGGAAACAATAAATCCTAAGCGCCTCTGTCGTGTCGAAATACCGCACCAGAAGCGAGGCAAACCATATCGAAGCACCCGCGAGTCAACCCTCGGAGGTTGAAGAGGTTGCTGGAGGTTACGCGAAAGTCAAAGGTCAGCGACCTTTGACCTGACAAGTGCAGCACGACAGTTAAGGACACACAACTGACTCGTTACAAAGCAGTTGCCCGAGTCGTACTGTATCGAACCGCAACAGCAACAGTAAAGAAGTTATAACCGTATCTTTTCATATTCCTTGTACTATTATATAATCTTGTACTTCCTTGCTATAATCAATCTACTTTGCCCTCACATACCAGCGCAAGGTGGTTCACAACCTTTTCATTAAGCTTCCGCTGCTACAACATCATCCTACCCAGAGTCCTACCAGCATTACAAGACATGGCAACACAGAAGGAAAGGAGTTCCTCTAACGGTTCTCCTGGTACTACTCCTACTCCACCTCCTGCCTCTGGCCTGCAGACAGAGGAAGGCACGACAACAAGACCAAGGGTGACATCTACTGAGACTCCCGCAAACCACCCTGCCAACTTCGACCTGAACATGACGGAGAAATTCTTCTCCTTCATGTCCTTCTACGAGCAGCACCAGCAGTCGGGACCTGCACAGTCATACAACAGCAACAACAACGGAGCAACGCCCATGAGCCTTGACGGGTCGTCATACGCGCGCGGAAATCAACAGCAGCAACCTACCTTCGCTCCGTACGAGCGCGGGTCGATCAGCTTCATGCCGCAGCCTTCACCTGGACAAGAGAAACCACTGGACGCGTTACAAGTTCAATCACAATTCGCGCACGTCCTGAAGCTGCAAACGTCAAGACCTTTCGACGGAAAGGACTTCTTCACCTGGTCATTCGAGTTCGAGTTGATGATGGAGGGCGCGCAGATACTCGGCTGCTTCGACGGATTCCTGCCATACCCAACAAACGGGACGCAGTACGAGAAACAGCAGTACACCTATCAGTCAATGATGGCGTACATGATCCTACTGAGGAACGTCACACCAACTCAGCAGCAGAACATACGGTCTTACCGGGCTTTCGGCAACTCGGCGGAACTTGCATACAGCCACCTGAAGAGCCTGTATCAAGCAACAGACAGCGTAAACCAAAGCAGGTTAATGGCGTAGTTGACAATAGTCGAAATGAAAGCAGGAGAAAAGGGAATGGCATATATCAGTCGCTGTCGCGAGTTGCGCGACAAGCTTCTTCGATGCGGAGGGTCAATATCTGAAGACGCCTTCGTGACAGTCATCATCGGCGGCCTCGGTCCCCAATGGCGCGCAACAAAGGCCATCCTCCGAGCCCACGGAAGAATCTCTGAAGCAGCACTCTGCGCCGAAATCCACGCCGAGCAACAAGATATGGACCTGCAAGAAGAAAGGCACAAGAGAAAGACATCAGCACCGGAATTCGCCTTCCACACTCAGCGACGCTACAACAACTACAACAATCGACAGCAACAACCGAAGCCAGTACCTCCCTTCTGTCACATCTGCAAGACGTCAGGGCACCCACGGACGCACTGCCCAAATCGACAGCAGACAACACCTCCACAACGGCAGCTTCGACCTTCAAGCAGCCAAGTCGCATCAACACAGACGAATCCAACGATCCAGATTCAACCTTCAACAGCTCCAACGGGACAATCTGCACAAGGAACAAGAAACATCGTCAGCTGCATGGCAAGACTGAGCGACTCCTGCATCACGGAATCACCACCGTACTACTCACCGGAAGAACAACTCGACGAAGCCACACCTCGCCGCGAAACACTCCAACCGAATCCGACATACGCCGCCATCGCCCAAAGCGAGCCATCCGGGAAAGACACGTGGTTCTTGGACAGTTGCTGCGGGCAGCACATGTGTTCTTCGGGACGCTTCGTGCAACGAGAATACCAGCCCCAATGCGAAGTAGTCATCACCATCGCCAACAACCAGAACCTGCGCACACGACGACAAGGAATCGTTCAACTTCAGTCACGTGAAACAAACGTCATCCTGCAGATGTCCAAGGTTTTAATCGCAGAAGGCCTCGGCTACAACTTACTCAGCGTCAGTCAACTGATGGCGAAGGGCATTCATCTTGAAGCAGACAGCACGACCCAGGAATTCAAGCTATACCACGGGAGAGGAGGTCTTTACATCGGGAAGGCAGTCTTGAAGAACAACGTCTTCGTTCTCGACTTCGTTCCTGATCTTGGCACCACCGACAGCGACGCCATCGTTAACTTCACCAACTGGACACACCCTCCGGATCTTGACCCCGACTTCAGTCCAGGCGGCTTCTGGTATTCACATACCATTCCTGAGACAGAAAGGACGAGAGCGTTAGCGACAATTCAACACTCGGCAGCAGCAGAGACAACATCGGCAGCAGCAGAAACAACATCGGCAGTAGCAAAAACAACAACAGCAGCAGCAGAGACAACAACGGCAGCAGCAGAGACAACAACGAGAACAGCAAGAACGACAACACCAATCCCCGGTCCTTCAACGGCACCGCTCTTCGTCGACGACACACCACCGACACCCGCACAGCAACTTCAGCCAGCACCGCGAGAAATTCATCGCAGCGCCAACTTCACCGCCGGCTTCTACTCCAACTCCGACTTGTATCGACGCTCAGCCGGACACCGCGCCACCGAAGGAACCTGGCACGCAAGGATGGGACATCCGAGCCACACGGTGTTAAACAACATAATAAGGGCAGGAGTACTCGACAAAGACTCACTCCTACTAACCGACGGCAGAGAACTTCAGCGAGCTCGAGGAACATGCTTCACCTGCCCTGAAGCAGACTTAACATGTCAATTGTTTCCATCTCACCACAATCCAAGCGCACCAGCTTACGCACCACTCGAAAAGGTGTACAGCGACATCCTGTACAACCGCGAGCCCGGACAAAACGCCTACAACTACACGATTACCTTCATTGATGCCGCGACCAGATACGTCTGGCACCTCAATCTTCCAAGCCGCGACATGGCCTTCGAAGCCTTCGTCGCCTGGCTTCCTGCAGCAGAAAGGGAATCGGGCGTAAAGTTGAAAAAGCTTCCAGTCAGACGGGGGAGGAGAATACACCTCACAGAGGTTCAAGGACTACTTGGCAGAGAGAGGAATCAAGCGGCTCATCTCCCTTCCCTACGCTCATCAACAACAAGGTGTAGCAGAAAGGATGAACAGGACACTCCAAGCCACCATGCGCAAGCTGCTACGTGGCATGCATCTGCCCAACCACCAGTGGCCCGAAGCAATGGACCACGCCGTCATGCTGCACAACTTGCTCTCGTCATCATCGCTCCCGAACAACGCATCACCGCATCTGCTATGGACAGGAAAATTGGGCAGCACAAAAATGTTACGAGTTTTTGGGTGCATGGTACAGTACCGACCACCATCTGCACGCGCCGGCCGATTCTCCCAACGAGCACAGTGGGGACTACACCTGGGCATCGAAAAACACCACAACGCATGGAAAATCTTCGACATCAACAGCAAAGAAACAGTCGCAGCACGTGATGTCATCTTCTACGAGAACCTCACCCTCGACGTTCATCTCGCGTACGTCAGAGCCAACAGACCTGACCTCACGGGCGGATTCACTGGCACTCGAGCCTTCGCCTCGGCAGAAGACGAAGCTGACTGGGACGAGCAGAACGTGGACCGAGCCTCGGAAGAAGCCGGACCTCTTCCCTACTGCCCAGTGGACGTACCAATGGACGACGAAGATCCACGCGAAAGCATCAACGCCGAAGTTTACTACCACTTCGCCGACAACGGTTACGTTACACCCGCTGAAGTCAACACCAACGAAGCAGAACGCATAGGACCCAATTTCGCACCTGATCCAGAAGCTGGAGACGAAGCAGTCTATCCCGAGGATACCACACTCCCCCGCTACACACAGAGTGGACTTCAGATCCTTGGGCTCGTCACCGCGGTCCACGGCGCTGCCATACCTAAGGAGCCTGCGACGGTTCAGCAGGCTCTGGGGGGGGAGCACAGGGAAAAATGGCGCGAAGCCATGGACAGGGAGCTGAAGGCCTTAGAGGAACGCAACACCTGGAAGGTCGTCCCTATCGGCGTAGCACGAAACAAGACTATACTCACCGGAAAATGGGTCTTCCGAGTGAAGACGAAAGCAGACGGCACCATCGACAAGTTCAAAGCACGCTGGGTCGTACGCGGCTTCGACCAAGAGCACGGACGCGACTTCACCGAAACCTTCGCTCCGGTCAGCCGCCACACCTCGCTCCGAATTCTCCTCGCGATCGCCGCCATGAAGAAGAAGAAGCTGCGGCAAATCGACGTCGCGAACGCGTTTCTCTACGCACATGTTGATGCAAAAATATTCGTCGAACTACCGCACGGTTCCCACGGAGAGCCCAGCCAAGTCTGCCAGCTGCTTAAGTCGCTCTACGGCATCAAGCTTCTCCGCGACTGTGGCAACAGTACCTGCACGCTCGTCTCATCCGCATCGGCTTCAAGCAACTCCCGCACGACCAAGGCATGTACCGACTCACGAAGAACGACGACTACGTCCTGCTAATCGTCTACGTGGACGATCTCCTCTACATCGGGTCAACTGACGGCATCACCACCTGGTTCGAAGGGGAGCTACAGCAAGACCTCACACTCACGGTCTCGCCTACCGTCACTCAGTACCTCGGCCTCAACATCCGAGAAGAAGGGGATGCAATCTACCTCAGCGCCGAGAAGTACGCCGACACTATCGCCAACCGCTTCGCTCTCACGCCGGCCGCGATCTCCACGCCATACCGCTACACGACAGGAACCGACAAGGGAGGATCCGTTCTCCTCAAACCCGCCGGCATACGCGACTATCAGAGGAAGCTAGGATGTCTCCTCTTCGCAGCTGTTACCTGCCGTCCCGACCTCTCATATTCCGCAAGCCAGCTCGCTACCTACC